TAACATCAACAAAATCTGTATCATCGATCACATCGACAGTAATCGACTCAACTTGATTCAATACTGAACTAAGACTTTGATTGTTGTCGATCATACACTGTTGTTCGATATACCAGAAGCAGTAATTCTCCTTGGCATTCTCAGCAAGAATGTTTTGAGATTTCAACCACAGATTCATCTGTTTCCAAAGAGTCGTGGGCATAAAACATTCACTTTGGCTATCTTCGGTATTTTCTATAAATGTTACCTGACAACAGAAATTCGTTTGTTCGTTACATTGAACAACGTGGATTTGAACTGGTGTATTTTCGTCAGATCGATAGAGTTCACTGATTAATCTATCCTCCATTAGACATCGTCCAAGTTCATCGAAGACTATAAAAGGATTCTTGGATGTTAAAAAAATTGATTTTAGATCAAGAATAAAGTAACTTAGAACTGAAGACAGTTTTCCTTCCATTGTAATGAAATATGTCAATTCTTTCTCGCCGTATTTGACATTAACAGAAATCAATGATGATCGTTCCAGAACACGGTATTGAGTTTGGATTCTAACCGAGTCAACATTCACGTTTTCTGCTTGAAAATTCACAAATATGTCGTGAGAATCGATCACAGCTACAGTTTCGAAATCGTATTTTTGTTTTGCGAAAATGTCTTTCAATTGCCCATAGAAATGTTCAGATTTACATCGCCACGTCTTCTTAGTCTTACCATCGAGATGTGTAATTTCGAATTTCGGCTCATTTTCTTTCGATCTCTTTTCAGCTTGCTTTAGACTCATTTCGAAAAGTTCCGACGATTCGAACAATTTCGAATTGATTCTTAATTTGGCCGCACTCGTGTACGTATTCGTATCAGTGCTAATAGGCAGTGATACAGTCGTTACATTTGTGACAACTGCCGTTTCTTCATTGACAATTACATCTGTCGTCGGCAGATCAAATGGATCTTTTATTTCCGGAAAGATGAGCCCGGAATTTCCATCACCAATTAATTGTGGTATGATATGCGTTAGATCCCTTTCTGACTCACCCATTAGAATGGTGTCATTTTGCTCTTCTAATATTACTTGATCTTTGTTACGAAATACATCAAATACATTCGCGCTTTGCAATTCATCATTTTGAACGTCTACGCGAATACTCCATAAAACGGCTTTCTTCTCTTCGGTATTAATTGCTTGTTCTTGTATTTGGGATCGAACTTCAATCAATTTCATACATAATGGCAGATAGTTTTCACATTTGATCTCATTTGGAATGAATGCTAAGATCGAATTTTCAATAGCCAAGATTGCACAGGTTTCCACCAATGGTCGACTATATTGATCAGCCAGCAAATTTTCTACAAGTATAGTGTCATTCAAGAAATCAGTGATGAGTTTCATTTTCGCTTGAAAATCGTCTTTGTTCGTCGTACTCTCGGACGAAACGAACGAAGAGACCAATAAATGATTAAGCGTATCACTAAGTGTCTTCTCGATTGGGACACGAAGTAATTGGGAAACATTCATTAGAGCATATTGAAATTGATTGATTGTTTGTTGATACAGGTGAAGAACATTCGAAATGTGAGAGAGAGGAAAATCTTTCATTCGACATTGTTGAAATAGCTGAGCGAACCGATGCTGGTACTCTTCCAGTCGGACAAAATCGGCTATCTTCATCGATGAATAGTTTTTCTCTGATGTTTTCAATATTTCCAAAATTTGTTGAAGGAGATCTGATTCCGTTTGAAGTTGATCGAAAGTTCTTTGTTCCAAATGGATCCATTCTTCGACAATGAAAGGCTCTTCGTCTTCGTCCGTTTCATTATTGATCAGTTCCACAGTAGTGACAGGAAGTGATCTTTGCCGTACAAATAACTGATATTTGTTCTGAATGTGTTCATAATTAATACGACAGTAGAGGAGATAGGTTCGAATTAAATATGATTGAACGTAGAGAAAATTAAAATCCAATTGCGTGTTTGACTGCGGAAAGTAATCTTTTTCATTTTCTAAACTCGCACGAGTTAATTGTTCGATCCATTGACAATCTGCTCTATTCAATGTGATTACACCCATATTTTCTTCGGTAATCTGAAGAACAGAAATTTCTCTCTCGGTTAATTCAATGATCGTATCTTTCAGTGAACCTAAGCCAAGCAGATTCTCATTTTCTTTGATTTCGTTATTGAGTAATTTCAAGATATCATTATGATAATCGACAAGAATACTAAAACGAAAAACATCTTCTATGTGCGGAGAAAGAATGAAGAACTGACCTTAATATTCTCATGATCATATTTCCTTCATCAATTTTACCTGTTTCAACAAGATAACTGACGAATGTATCAAACGAAATCGGTTCAAAACGTTGAGTTTGATCACAAGCACCAGGTTGAATCAACCCGTCAGCAAAACGATGATAGGAATTGAATGCTTCGATTCCATTTTGAATAATTTTCAAATTCTGTTCTTGATGAACAGCATTGACGTTCTGATGAGCACGTGCATACAATTCCTTCAACGTAAATGTCAAAAATTCGTCTGGATCGATCAATTGTGCATAAGTACGATGTAAAAGGACATATAATTGACATAAGTCATAGACATATCGCGTCATTTGAACGAATTCTAATGATGCCAGTAACCGGCGTAGTATTGTCAAGGGTAGTTGAGACGCTTTCGGACTGCAAAGTTCAGTTTTGAAGTGAACAACATCGACAAGAATAGGCATTCGAGCCACATAGTCATATAAATTGGTTTGCAGTAGAGATCGTGCTTGAATAGTATCGATAATCTTTCGATGTTCAGCCAATTGTTGCTTCATTGGATAGAAGATTGTATTTTGGTATTCTTGTTCAGCATTGTATTTCTCTTGAAATGTCCTATATACTGGTTTGATCCATGCATGTTGATCGATTTGACGGGTAGCTTGTGCGAATAACTCGAAGCAACGATTGAATAAGATTGATGCATTATCTTCGTTCAATTGCATCGAAAGATGATGATATGTTGATAGATATCGCGTACGAACAAAATGACACACTTTCGCTCGCATACTATTGCCAGCGATACGTCCTACAGTATCTACTGTATCGATGGCATGCTTAGCTAAGATAGGACCATAGAGATTCGATACCGATTCTTCATATAAGAGTAAATGCCATGCCTACAAATATCGAAATCAAAAGGAAATTTCTCTTGTCTTGCGTTCTCTGATATTTACCATGGCACCGTAAGTAGCAAAGTAGGCAATGTACACAGCTGGAACACTAAATGGGCTTCCATTACGTCCGCCAGACGCAAAATGAATTAATTCTCCTTGTTCAGTAAGAAGGCATCCGCAGTCATAATGGACGCCATTAGCGAGAATAATTTCATGACGAGTCGACCCGAAGCCTAAAAAAAAAGAATAGAAATATGCAATGAAATGATAGAATTGAACTTACCAAATGTTCCTTGTAATGTTAATGGTGAAAATGCGAATGTCCAAAGAAAGTTTTCTTTTCCACCTAGCATGATCATTGCTAACAGGTTGACTAACAAATGACGAATAGATAATTCATCATTTTCAATACAATCGGGTCGAAAGAGATCGTTGAGACAATTGCTATCTAAATGATTATCATCTTTAACATAACCAATCACATATTGTTCCGGTTGAAGGAAAATACGAAATATCCGTCGCTCCTCTTCACACGGCTGTAACGTATTGTCAATTGCAGCCAATAATTGATCTAGTAAGTCAATTTTATTTGTGCAAAAGTATTCATAGTAGATGTTCAAGAGCAACATCACTTTAATTTCAATAGCATTGATCACTAATGGATTGCTATTCAATTTCGTCTGGATCCAATCAGTCAAAGGTATCCAACGTTGATCAAGATCGTTGTTTGTAACGCATTCAGCTAACAACTGCTTGATTTCTTGGTAAGGTTGATGCAACGTCGGAAAGATTGATGATGAAGTGTCTGGTGTTAATACAAAATGTAACTGATGACAATGTTGGAAACATCTCTTGTGCGAAAGGTTTTCATTCGACTCGAATAGACTGTGCAAAGTATCAGCCCAGGGAGCATTAAGACGCTGAATACGTTCAGATTTCAATAAACTGAGGAGGAAATTCCATGATCGTTTTTGAATAATTGTTCCACAAAAGACTTCCAGACTTTTGCTCAATTGTGTCACAGGAGGGTTGATAGTTAAATACTTATTAATTACGTTATTTAGAGTATTGTTCATTCTTTGTTCGTCTAAATTGTCAATATCTGGTTGCGAAAGAAGTAAAGCTGTACTCCGGAGAGTAAAGTATTCTTTGAGATCAGTGAAAATTTTCTCGACGATGGGATCGTGTCGAGCATCATTTACTCTAGGCACGCTAGAGAACATGATTTTATGGATCGAATCGAGTTGAGGAATTTCATCGCTGGCTAATCGTCGAAGATGAAAAAAGAAGAGATCGAGCAAGATTTGACTTTGATTTTCATCGCTGATCATCGATGGATGAGATGGTAGTTGATACTGGTTAAGATGTTCATCATCAACACAATTCATGATTAGTGTTAGCAGTGAGAGACGATCCCAGAAATGTTTAAATTGCCGTTGATCATGCAATCGATTTTGACGGCTATTTTCTACAGAAATATTCATGAGCTCATCGAAGATAAACTGTTTCATCGGTAGTGATAGATGACAAGTTGGTTGACAAAGAAATTTCAATAAAGCGTTCACCTCTTGCTGTGACGATCTATCGGATCCTTTCAACGTCATGATAATCCACTGTTGAATATCGATCAATAATGTCGCATTGCTGGCTGCGTGTTCTTCAAAATATCGATCAATAGTTCGAATAATAAGCGGGACGTATTGTAAACAGATCGAACTATCAGCATTATTATCAGTCAAACCAGTATCAGTGAGTAACCGTTGTACAAGTTCAGTTGGTTGAGGCGTCTTTTGATTCAAAAGAATGAAGTATGATAAATTCATGAAATCAATCTGTGCTTTCATCTTCACGAATTCCATTCGCTTAAGCACTCGTTCGGACGGATAGTACTTCGAGATTAATGTATAACTTTGGAGCCATTGTTTATAATCGTTATTATTTCGACATAGATCATTTAGACGTATCCATAAACGGCGAAACATCGATTCGTATAGAATTTCACGTATTTGGCTACGTTCTTTGTCTTCATCCGATAAGAGATTTTCGTAGAACGATTGATCAATATCAAGATTCTCCATGATTCGACATGCTGTATATATAGAAAGAAGATCACGCTGATGGTATTCTAAGAAAGAGTATATTTGTGCGAGATGCCAGATGTCTCGATTCGACGAGGCATTGAACGAGACCTTTTCATTTGCTTCGACGCGTAATAGCCAATGTGCAATGAAATCAATTATTCTCTGACATTGCGCTTGATCGTCATGAAAATTCTTTTCGATGAATGTGCAAACAATATGAATAGAATCAGCTGATCACGGAAGTCTTCTCGCGTACGATCAATTTCATTTTCGTCATTGGCAGCATTCTCATCTGGCGCATTGTAATAGTCATCTCGAAGAATATTGCCATCATCTGAAATGGAATAAATGATAAAATACGGTTTTTCGTTTTTACTTCTATAGTTTTACCTTCATATCGATTATATGGTTGAACTATCTTTGATTTGATAACGCCGGCTAAATTTCTAATTCGTTGACGAAGTAGATGGAATAGTGGTGTTTGAAGGATACAAGAATAATGGTCATTCAGTCGAATGGGACCTTGATCAATCGAAGAAGATTGATCGACATTGGTGCTATACGAAGAGTAGTCGACCAGTTCGAGCAGTTTATTGAATTCACTGTTGCGATCAGACAGCTTCGTGAGAGTTTCTAACCCATAATCATCGATGAGGTATTTTAACATATAAGATATGAAATTAGTGAATGACACTCGCATGTTTGACTGCAAGGAGTCGACGAGCCCGCGAAAGTTTTTTCCGCACAATGTATCTTTGGCAATATCGTGGATAATATTACAATTCTTCTGTAAAGATCTATCTTTCATGGAGATGTTCTCATGAAAAATCGTCAAGAGATGTTTCTGTAAATGATTGACTTCTCGAAATATGCTCTTTAAACATTGAAGACGCTGATCGATTGATGTCTGACGTCGGTAGAACTCGTAAGCATATCCATTATGAAACATACCTTTGGGAAGTTCACGAATACCCACTTGTGCACGGGAACAGAATTCCAAAAGGCAATCATCAAAAAGAGCATTCAAAACGTAAAACTCGTCCTGAAAAGTGATCTGCTGTTGAACTCGTACGAATTTTGATGTGAAAACTTGTAACATTTTTTGCAAATGAAATGCATTGCCTGGAGTAGACGTGTCCAGATACCAACAATCCCAGTGGTGCAAAAACATGGCCGGGAAACAAGATTGATGATTCAATTCTTGACCAGTATTATGAATGAGAAGAACATAAAATTTTGTTGGTTGTTCATTGGATTTATTACAGATGCTTTCACTTTGATCAACTAATTGCCGAACGTAGGGAATGTGAATACGTTGATGATTAATTCGACCATCAATGATAATCAAGAGAACCGATTTGTTTGTCACATTCTCAAACTGTTCGAATTGTTCGTGCAAGTCGTTAGAACTTTGAATCGTTGACTATAGGAGAACAGAAAATCTCAGAATTATTAAAAGAAAGTTGCTAAAGACTTACTAGATTGATCATATCGATCTTGTCGCTTGTAATGCTGTTCATCATGTCATCGTTAACATCATGATTGAATAATTCATTCATCGATTGTTTGCTTAGTCGTAGAATAAATGACGATGTTCGAGTGAATAGCATCAATTTTCTTACCATGCAGATCGTATTGGTCGGTTGAGCGACTGCATTATCCATCTTCAGTAACTCATCATTATCAATAGGAATGATGGGTGGTGAAACGAATCGAATGAGAAAGGTTTCTATATTGAAATGTTCTTGTTGATAAAAATAATTTCGACAAAAGACTTGAGCGATATCATTCTCCAATGTTGGTAACTTGAAAATCATCGACTCAGGTGAAGCCAATTGTAAGAACTTAGAAAGGATACCATAGAGAAGACACTGTTGCTTATCATTACTGCTTTGTTCAATAGATAGTTTTGACTGAATACTTAACTGATTGTAATTGTCGTTCATATTTGATAAATAGCATTCACCTTCTTGACTACGTGTGATAAACGATAAGAGAGTCGAATAGAATGTGTTGTCGTTGAATCCATAGAAGTATTCTTGTCCGAAATGCTTAACAAAAGATTGAGCTATACTTTCGACTTTCCGCATCAGATTTTGTTCGTCAACTGGAAGTTCTTTAACTTGAATAGAATAGAAATCAGCGGCGCTCAATGAATACTTTTGAAATCGACTCAGAAACGGAGCTGGAATATCCTGGAATTCGCTTCGTTTGATATGAACAATACATTGAAAGTTTTCATGAACGACGACATCAATCGTTTTTGGGCCAATGGCAACTTTGGAAAAAATCTTTCGACTTTCATCAGTAGCCATAATCGAAAAATTCTGATTGAAAACGTCGTACAAAGATCCATGGATACGACCAGTGTTCACCATAAGAATCGTCTTTCCTGTTTCCATGCAAAGTTTAATTGTTGATAAGATTTCCACATTTCGTAGGTCATTTTTTAAATCTTCATCAAAGTCGGACATACGAAAAACAGTTGTCTGCTGAGGATCTGTATCGATAATTCCGGTTTGATATAGAAGACGAATGGCACTTTCATCTTCCGACTCGTCGATAATCAATTTATATCGACCATAGAGACGACGACGTACTGGATCGAGTTTCATAGAATTACGAAGAATGATCGGAATATTTCGTTCAATCAGATGTTTATCGTTGATTAGCGTGCGAAATTCTGGACAGTATTGTCCGATCGATTCTGCAAAGATATCCACCAATTTGTTGAATTCTTCCACTCGCACGCCGTGGAAATTGTCTTCAAGGGCGCGTAACAAACTTCCTGGTGTAATTTCTCCGACGGTAACTTCTTCCGTTTGATTTATATTCGTCAATTCAAAGCGTAGTTCTCTGAGCATATAGATAAAATCACGATCGTGAAAAATATGTGGAATGTCAGGTGAACTAAGTATTTGTCGATAGCCTTGACATAAACCAGAGATGATTTTATCAAGACGATTGGTAGCAGTCGCTTGCTTCTGTGACAGTTGGAGTCCCAAACAACCGTAAGCTAAAATTTTCTGATCTACCTCCGAAGGTAATGATCGTTGAATACAAATCATTCGATTGGCATTGGCCGCATCGAAAGGGTGATTGGCCACGGCAACAAAAGCCACTTTACAGTCATCTAAATATGGATGCAAAACTTTCATAACCATTTTCTTCTCATCAGGCAGTGAAGCTTCATCTAAGAAAACAACCTGCAAAAGAAAACAAAGACGATCATTTGCTTCGAAGATATTCGATGTAACATACACAACGCATGTTCATCTGATTTTGTTCATATTCTTGTTCACGTCTGATGGCACGATCGAAAATAGAAGCAATATCTTCTGATCGTGTGTATTTTGAACCAAGACAGTAAAATGCATCGAATGCTGGAAGACGTTTACAAAATGGTTTACTCGATAATTGAGCACCTTGCAGGTTTTGAAGAACGATCTGAAAAGATAAAGTTTTCGACTGACCAGGAATGCCGATGATACACAGAGGTGTTCTCGTAATAAGACTGACGACAATAGCAAAAATATGTTCGCGCACCTAGAAACAAAATTTGCGTGTGAATAATGTTTAATGACTGCTAAGAAGACTTACTGCTTGATTAATGGCTACGCCTTTTGGAATGACAAAATTATCTGTATTTACAAAACGGTATAATTCAGTTTGAATGACTTCTTCAAAATCCGGTATCGTTTCATTGAGAAGTTCAGCCAATTGTTCTCGTGATGGTGACGGCACCTCCATATTTCGACGTTGAACATTATGATCTTTAGTTGGAAGTCGAAAATAGTATATCAATGCGATAGCCAATGCAATGCATTTGATTGGATTAGGATCGAATGTTCGTTGATTGCAAAGAAGTTCATCGTCGTATCTCAAATTCCAGAAAAATTCGATCAAAGTGAAACAACGTTGAATTTCACGTTGAGAAACAATATTACGTCCTAAAGACACACATAGGCAAGAATATCCAACTAGTTGGAACTTACCGAGATTCTTTTCACAGAAATCTTGCGCTTTCAAAATCGAGTCAGCCAATGTGTCTTGAACGTAATCATCTAAAAGCATAGCTCTGCCATTTCTTCCTGAAGACGTGCTTTGAAACATCGCGATTTTCCGTACGATATAGTCTGCTAATGTTCGTGATTCAAGTGCGCCGTAAGCAACTTTTAAATCTTTTAACGATTGAGGCAAATCATGAACAATAAAATCATTGCGATGAAGTCGAGTTCTAGTCTCTTCTGTTTTCATATATGGATTGATGGCAGCAGTGAAGAAGATGTTCTTTGGTATTGTTGTTCCATGTAAAGTTCCATCCATAAACATTTCTTTGAAAAGACCAAGACACGACGATGTATTAAGTTCATCGAAAAAGACGACAATCTCAATTTTTGATAACTGACGGGCCAGCTCTATTATCGGAAACACGAATTCGACTACCTGTTCTTCACTAATACCAGGATGAAGAAGAAGACGATAAAATAAGTCTTTGATTTGTGTATTGTACAGATATTCTTTGAAGAGATCGATCGACACTTCACTTGTGGGCGATGTTATTTCGCCGCGTAATTCGTCTAAACGTTTACTCGCCTTCAACAATGGATAACGGCTAAGTTCTTCACAAATATAATCACGCATCTGTCCAATCAAATCGTTGGTGAGAGGCATTGTTAACTGATCACAAACCTGGAGAAGTGTTTTCCATATTTGATACAAAATTTTCTTGTCATACTTATTTTCTCCTAAAGAAATTTTCAATTCACGTAGGAAGACATCGTCTGTTGGCAGAATGTTTTCCGCTGCAGCAGCAACTGGTTGTGCGGCAGCTAAAGCCATCATTGGTTCGTTGAAATTGCCTTCATTCACATCCAAACCTAAAACTTTCGGTTTGATCTGTTGAAGAAACGAATTGAGAAGATTCGTTTGATTTTCAACCCTTGTCTCAATAGTTTCGCGCAAAAACTGACTGACACTATCGATGATTTGCGGATAGATATGCTTTTGATTGACATCACTGGTTGCTGTAGAATTCAATAACTTCGAATAGAATTGAAGCAGAAATGTTTTTCCAACACCTGTGTCTCCCTCGATAATCAATGGTAATTTTGTTAATTTTCTCTCATGAATGTGAAATAATTTATAGGCGAAACTATCGGTTAAAATAAATTTTGTTTCCTGAATAATTTTCATAAAATTTTCGTATTTGATGTCGATTAACCAAGCTAAACATTCGGCATAGTAATCTTTACCAACAAAATACTCTGATTTCAATGGGTCTCGATTGTTGAAAAGTGTTTTGATATCTGATGATACTTGATTCCAATCAACATGTAGTAAACGCAGAGCAAATCCGGGATCGTAAACGAAATAAACGCGTGGATAATGAGCATCACTGAAGTCGATCTCCGTCAAAGTGATCGCTTCTTTGATCATTTGTTGTATCGCTGTTGATCCTAATTTGTTAACACATTGATTAAAACGATAGTGTGGACCTTCGAAAAATCGAAAACGGCGATACAGAAATTTGACGAATGACAATTCGTATATTTTGTTTCTTGCTAATTTCGGCGCATATTGTTTGATACAATTGGAAATCTGCTGTCGACATTGATTTTTGTCTGCGACCTTCTCGAATGTTATTCCCGGTCCATTTTCATCTTGTTGAGCGAGTAACTGGTCGATTTTTCCATCGCTGAAAGCTTTGAAAAAGCGTGCAACAAGTTCTTCTTCGTTTCCAATGGATAGCTGATAATTTTCATCGGTTACTTCTTCTAGTGTCGTAGGAGAAACAACGGCGAGAATTGGAAGGATTTCATTAAGATTCTCGCGAACATCGACACGAGAATTATTCGAATAAGGAACTTCAATGATAAATTTCCACGGTTTTGAATCCGACAAAGAGAAAATCAAACCACTAGCTGGATCAGATAGACAACCACTTATGAATAGTGAAAATAACGTCCGATTTAGATCCTCAAATGGGGCGTGAATTGAAATATTGAAGAATATCGACGGGCCATTGTCACTTATATTCACATCGAATAGAAGAAATGAACTTATCAGTGAAGAAAGATTCAGTTGATCATTGATACTAAACGAAGATGTTTGATCGGTCTTGATACGCGTGTTGATTTGATGAGTTTTGCCTAGGAGAAAACAAGCGGAGTCTATGTTTTGATATCGAATCAAAACAAATGAAGTTACCTATTCCAGCTTTGCCGTAGATAATTTGAATATTCAATGGATTCAATTGACATTGAGAAAAAAGTTCCATTAGATGTTGATGAGCTTGTTGGGGATCTTTATATTGATCGGGAATCGCATATGGATATAAACCTTTTCGATTGGTGGTCAAGTCTCTCGAGAAAAAATAAACACGACCATGTTGACTTGATTCCTGTGCCAATTGGTCTTGTTGTTGCAGAACAATTTCCCTTAGATTATGATGCATTTTGTCAATATTCATAATAGCGAAGATCAACGATGGAAATGTTCGTATACGAGTGAAGAATAGTTCGATATCTTCTTTTGTTGCATTCGAACACCAGAGAATTTGATACGGTGCAGGTAATTGATTTTGAAAAATGTTTAACAAGATACAACATGTACTCAAATCGAAGTCATGTGCCAACGAGACTTGGCTGGAATTGGTAAGCAAACGTGGAAGTTTGACATGAAATTGTTGCTTATTGTGTTGAAGATTGTCGTGGTGACGGAACAATTGCATGTTGTTTTCGAATAGTTCACAAAGGAATTTCGATAGTTTACTTAAAGGATTCTCGGTATCCAATCCTTGTTCAATCTGATACTTTTGATGAAGTTCGTTCAAATGTTCGTTCGATAGATTGACTCCTTTGATTCGTAATGAACGTAAGTAATGTTGAAGACAATGGATGGTCAATTTGTGCTCTTCTTCCTTTTGATCAGTTAGATTTTTACTTGTAAACAAATTTTTCAAGAAACGATTTCGAACCGAATGAAGCTCATCGGGTTTGCGAAGTAAAAGAATCAGAACCATTATCTGACGATTGGAATACAATTGTAAAAACGGGCACTCACGACGGGATTTTTCCAAATTTTTTATCCATCCGTCATATTTCTGTTGAAACAAACTACAAATCGATTCTAAATTTCGTATTCGATTCTCAATTGCATTGCAAATTCGAGCATTTTGATGATTTCGAAGATCATTGGACATCGAACTGATTTGTACTGAAAAAAGAAAAGAAATGAAGATTAAAGAAGTGCCCTGAAAATTTGTTCGAACTCATACCTTCTTGAAGATCAATTTCGTATTCTTTCTGATGAAGTTGATAATCTGGATGACCAGCTAATTCTAATTTGAGCAGAATTTGATAAATATGATCCATTGCTTTCAATAATTTCAATTGTCCATTGATTAAAGCTTTCTTATAGATCAGATTTTGTTGAGTATCAACATTACAAAATGTTAATTGTCGTTTGTGATTCTCGATATCAGACATGGATAGAATCAAGTCAATTTTCTTCACTTGTTGTTCTATTGGTTGATCTTGTTGAACTTCTCCACGATATGTTTGATCAATTGAATAATGGATTTCATAGAACGACGGTTTTCGTACAAGTTCTTGCAGAGTAATATGAACAGTAGCATTCTTATACAGATGTACCATCATGATTAGTGCATTATCTAAAACTGACGTTTCTTTTGTGGACAGCCACATAGTTATCAACTGTAAATTGTCATTGACCACTAGAAGAAAGAAAAACGATGATTGAATGGCAAATATCCTTATTTTACACGAACCTTTAATGTGATTAAGAGAACTTTCTTCGAGATTTGATGACTCAGCCAGACGAGTGATAAATTCGTTGAAATTATTTGCTTTATTAATGAATGGTTTGATTAATTTATAAGTAACAATCCATGAATTAAGAATAGTATTATTAAATTCTTGCAATTGAAATTGTGTTGTTAAATTATCGCGAAGTTCTTGAAAACGACGTTGACCATGAAGAGAATAGAGATCTGCTGCTCGCATTGTTTGAATAACTGGTGAACATTTCACGACAGTTTTTATTAATTGTAGATGTTGATGTGTTAAATCTTGAAATCGTTCTTGAAGAATTCGATACGCTTGAGTTATGTCTTTTAACGAACAATTTTCATTTCCACGCAAGCGTTTCAAATGTCCAATTGTTTCTTCTTCGTTATCTTTTGGCAAGAGATCAAATCTTTCGATACATTCCATAATAACATTCAAGTGACTGTAGTATTGATAGATTTGCAGCCACTCGCAAACTTGTTCGATATTGTCTCTGTTCGTTTCTTGACTAAAGCGATTATGGAAGAGTTTGCTCACTTCTTCACGCATGTTGATGTTCTTGTCATAAAAAATCGAGCTTAATTCTGTCATTTCATCGAGTTTCAAATCACCACTAAGAAGTTTATCGATGAATTGAAAGGTAGTCTCAAGTAAACGACTCATTTCCTGTTCAGATACGTTTTTCAATGCATCGCTGTAGTATTTCTTGTGTAACATATTGAAAATACCGTGAAATAACTGACAAATCGATAAGCCCACAGACTTTATTCGATACCAAATCGTTCGCGAGTCACGACTCTGAGTATTATCAATGGTGATAATCATATGACCACTGCGCTGCGTTTCAAAAGTGCCTTGAAGAATATTTGTATGTATAGATGCATTATCTTGTCGATATAAAGTTTCATAATGCATATTTGTTCCATTTGGTCGATATTCAACATGAACATCACATGAGTGACCTTCACTGACTACGTTCCATTGAATTTGTTGACGTTCCCCAATGACAATGATTTGCTCATGTCTTCTTTGAGCATCAACAGTAAACGAATTGTTTGGTTGGAAACGTTTCATGTCCAAGAGGAATTTTTTGACATCTTCTTGTTTATTTAATGCACCAGGATTGACATTTTCGAATGAAATCAAACAGTTGAATAAATGACAAAGACGTCGTAAGTCTTTGAATGGCTGAAGAAGCTTTGAGGTTCGTTCGATAACTGCTCGTATATCGAATAACGTCATTTGCTGATCATCGCGAATACGTAAGAGATCGATGAGAATCTGATTTGAACGTTGAACATTGTGATTTTTCAACCAAGCAACAATGTATTGAAAAATATCGACGAATCGATCGGACCAATCCAACCACTGAATAACTGTTGGAAGAAATTTATCATAAAAGTCCTTGGGTGATTGAAAGCTATTCACATCAATGATGTTTGACTTAGGCAAACCAACAATAGCATCGATCTGTTCTGTTATTAAAGGAAAACAATAATGTTCGGAGTCGTTTTGCTTAACAATAGCTTGTAGATTTATTGATGACAAAAAACAATCAATAATTGAACCAGTTAATAGATCACGATACACAAAACATTTACCTAAACCAAAGATCTAATAATTTCTGAATAGATCCTTCCTAAACTTACTTTTTAAATGTAGAATTTCGGTTAGAACATTTTGAGCACTTGTAACAAAAACATTGAGTGCTGTGATATCGTATTTATCTGATGAATCTTCGCGCTCGGCAATCGCTATGATAAAATCGATAATTACCGAAATCCTTGGTAATGAAAGTATTGAACGAGTAGTTCTAAACAGAAAGATATCACATAATTGATAGACTAACATATTAGTANTCCTAAACTTACTTTTTAAATGTAGAATTTCGGTTAGAACATTTTGAGCACTTGTAACAAAAACATTGAGTGCTGTGATATCGTATTTATCTGATGAATCTTCGCGCTCGGCAATCGCTATGATAAAATCGATAATTACCGAAATCCTTGGTAATGAAAGTATTGAACGAGTAGTTCTAAACAGAAAGATATCACATAATTGATAGACTAACATATTAGTAAGAATATCGTCTGCAACAGGAACATTATGTTGCACTGTTTTCAACCAGTCATCGATTTTTGCTAGGATTTGATTGGAATCGATATTTATCATTTTAGAGAAACTTATATTCAAAATTCTTGACCAAATATGAATAATCCATGGATTATTTCGATGATTGTCACATAGGTATTGGTAAGAGTTTCGGTCTAATTTGAGCCAAATCTGAAGATTGCTGTTGACAACATCTCTAAGCCAGTCATCTTTGATGATTTCTTCGAAATTATACTGTTGGAGCTGATTCACATCAAGATGATTGAGATTATCAAACAGGGCTCGAAGTTTTTGCGCATGAAGTCGTTGTTGATCGTCGAAATTGAATAGAAGTCGACGAAGAAGAATCAATGAAGTATTATGAAGCTTTCCAGGTGACGAAAATATTATGGAAAATTGTAACAAATTGGTTAGACCTTGTTGAGTGAATTGATACGAATAGTTTGGATTGTGGATCTGTTTGTTTATAAAATTATCCAAAAGTAGTTCACATATTGCATCAAAACTTGAAAGTGATTCTTTTTTAATTGTTGTCCGATAACTTTGTGCCGTTCGAAGATGATCGCAAAATGTTAAGACAGACAATGCGAGAATCTTCTCGTTTAATCTTGTTAGCACAGCACCCATAAGAGAATGACGAATGATGTTTAAACTTGTGAGTTTGAAAAACAACTTCCACAGCCCGTCAACCTCAAGAGTATAGGAATAGCTGGTGAAATAAGTCTCAAATAATTGCTGATCAACAGTGTCTATGAAACATAAAAACCAGATAATATTCGTCATTTCAACTTGATTGTGCTCGATTATTTGTAAAAACATCGATTGAAATTTAGTTAGAAATGATCTTGTATCAAGCTTCAAATGAGAACAATACTTGATATACACCATGAATAATGATTCATTCTGGCGATTCACGACTTGAAATCGTTGGATGAGGTAGATCAAAGTCGGTTCATCAATTGGAAATTGTTCAAATGCTTTCTCGTATATGAGATACATATGAATGAAATTTTCGAGATGTATTTTAATCTCTTTTATTTTCGATAATATATCAATCCATTGAGGGCGATAATCATTTGCTATCAGGCATCTAGTCGCTTGCATCGACAGTTTGCAAAGCAGAAGGAATTGTCTCAATGTGTCTATGTCATTGAGACTGGTAAAACATGAAAGATGTTGAGGAATATTCATTGTCGACAACGGTTCTCGGTCGTCAATAATAAGATTTGGTTCTTCACCTCTAGTTTCCTTGAATAAGCAAACTAATTCGCGTAGTAAACTATTCTTGAATTCGTGCAATAATTGCGGATAATTTTTGTTCTCATTGCTATTCATATATCTTTCAATTCGACGATAGATATATAAATAAGCGTCAAAGCGTTGTAGTGATCGATTTTGATGTTTGGAAGAAGCCAGATCATTCGTTGCGCATCGCAGGATGTATTCGATGTCTTTTGAGTATGATTTTTGTTTTTCGGAGTGATACTCATCGAAGATCATTAAGTGTGCCACAAGTGAATTGAAGAATTCCCGCTCGACGTCATTTAACTGAAACAAAGCACCTATTTGAAGCGCTTCGTTAGAAATAGCTATTTTCCCTCCACTGTTATGACTCATCACTGGAAGATAATTCGTGTTGAAATGTGTTGTAGTTGTTATTCAAAGAAAATTTTAAAATGAAAAATGAGGCTTTATGTTAACTCTTATATACTCAAGTTTACGTGTTATTTCCTATCTTCTACCGTGTTGGTATTTTCTTTTAGAGATAAGACAACACCTATGTATTATCATATGGTGATGCGCAGTCTTCGAAACAAACGTAAAAAAGACTAAAAAAAAGTATCATAAACAAATTTGATGAGTCTTCAGTTATCTATTACGATGAAACCATCCAAGCTAGTGAGAATTATATTTTACGGTTTTATACCTACTCACACAAATTTTACAGTAAAATACCTCGAGTCAACAATAACATGGGCAAAAGTGGATCTCTGAGACAAATGTTACAATCTTTATTGAAAACTACAGCCTCATCCTTACCCACCCACTCTTCAGTCTTCATTTTTTCCACACCGAAATGCAACACTTGTTCATCGAATTTTCTTCGAAAAATGATGTCATTCCCTATAACAGCCATCATTTCTTTAAAGTTGAATCGTGCACGATGTGTAAAAATATTGTACACATAAGATGTTTATGACTTTCATGGTAATATCCGACGATGGAAAAGTTGAGGATGACCAAAATAAATTGTTTTTCCTCGTAGTAATACGAACATTAGATTATGCTTATCTCCGTAGTTGTAAGAAGATGCTCTGAATACTCTAAGAGCCTGTTTTATGTGTTTTTAACAGTAGAATATTTCTCTTTGATTGGCAAGCGTTTGGATATGTCACATTTCTAAAGCAAAGGATGATTTAAAGTCTTATCTAACGAAACAAATCTTCTCACATTGGAACTAAGAATATTAAGAGTATACTGCGATAGGTATGACGATGGCACATAGCCGACAATTGAATCTTCGATAAATCATGTGTCGCATTCTGTTGCTTGTAAAACAGACTTGTATTAACATGCCTTCTGTTTCTTAGTTCGTACGTGAATGAAAAGAACTTTAAATGCAAAGACTTTTATTTCAAATGAGAATAAAAAAGTCAGGTTGATGCAAAGGAGAGGTGTTGTGAAATGTTTTTTTTTCTCGATTTATTTTTTTGTTCGTTTTGCCAGCTCATCCCGTTTCTTTTCTAACTTTTTAATTTGTTCTTCGATACGTTTACGTTCTTGTTCGATGTTATCCGATTGTTTTTCTAAATCACCGTGTCGTTCGCGTAGTTGCACCAAAAGCTCGTCATTCAATTTGCGAAAATATGCATTTTCAAACGCTTGTTCACGTTCAGAAAATTTGTCGTGTGCAGCGTTGATTGCTCCAGCTGTTGGGTCGGTGCTTGTGAAGCGTGTTGCAAGAGATAACTGGAACGATCTCTTGTATAATAAATTAACGCATGTACGAAGCATTTTTCAGTACTATCTTGAGTGTATGTGCGAAAGAAGAAAACGATGACATTTTATTCTTTTGGCGCAGAAGAAAAGGACGCGATTTCTTTCTTTTCTGTCAGAAAACACGACGAGAGAGTGAATACACGATCGCTGGGTTGTTTTATTTATGCGTTCTTGCGTCCGTCTTTCTCTCGTGTTCTTCAAGGCATTGGACGGAAGAAAAAATAGCGATCGTCTGATATATTTGTGCATGTGTGAAAAGGCAAAGGTTGCGTTGTTTTCTTTTTTTTAAGTATTGGACGAGTGTGTACCGATCATCAGAGAAGAATGAGAAACTAGGTGTCACTATATCTGTGACAATGATATCAGATGCTAATAAAAAAAGCTTCGAAAAATCCAGTAATAGATGAATATTTGTATATATACACGACAGAATAGTTTTATTACAATTATATTCTATTTTGATGACTGGCGACACACATTTGACGAACATTCAACAATATACGTTTCAGTTCTACACGAAAAGTTTTCGACACCAAGATGTTTGCATAGCAACCAATGCTATTCTCGATGTAAAACACGAAAGATGTTAGTAACAACACGTATTGTTCGATCAAGTTTCGCTCTTCATTTTTCTTAACATCCCGTGTAACTTCTCGGTAAATCAGAAAGATCATGATTGGAGTTTTACACAGAATGTAAGTGACGATTTCCACGAGCAACATTCGGATCAGTTGTCGATCCTTTGATTCAAGGATTTGTGGTTTGCCAACCGCGACAACAACTGAATGTTGTGAGCCAGAATGTTGTGTTGCATGACGGACTTTGCGAATGTTCTTCACTGTCCAGAAGCCCAGAATAAGCATGAACAGAGGTGGAATAACTCCATTGAGTGACAACCCATAGTAGGTGATAAACGTGTTATATGCACCTGGTGTAAAATAACAAACAGAATAGCCAGGCGCATATTGGAAAATTTGCGAGTAAACCAGTGCGTGAACATGGAAAATTGTCCAGAACAAGCCAACACAAATAACACTTGTGATAGCTAGTCGACGTGTGCTTCGTTTTCTTGTCAGAGCGTTCGATGAAGTGACGAGTGTTCGATCAATAGAGGCCAAAATAAGACACGATGATTCCCAACTTGACAACAGAAAACCTAGGTAGAATCGAAGTCGGCAGAAGACGAGATTATTTCCACTAGGATCCACGCCATAGCCTGATGAAAATACTATCGGAAGAGGTATAAAATAGAGAATCATTAAATTGACACTGTTGACTGTGATTAAATAAATTGCGCATGGATTTTTCCGTAGTGTATTTTGTGTGAATACCAAGAGGTTCAATAGGCAGCTGGTTGTGCCAATACCAATGAGTAGGGGACCGACGTATTTGAAAAGATTTCGTTGAAAGGCATAGAGAAATGCTGCTGCAGACATGACTGTGATGTGATAAAACTTAAATGAAACTAGAATTAAAAAAAGTGGGGATGATGTTTATATAAGCCAAAGACGACATTTATTAACCCTAATATTCCAGGTGTGAAAGCTTCGGTGATTATGCAGAACATTAAAGACAATATAATCAGAGTTTATACATTGCTTGAGAGAGAATTTGACACGTTAGAGAGCTTAGTGGAAAGAGTATTTTCTTATGATTATTATTCATAGTTTTTACTGATTAGGTGTTGTTCACAAGAAAGAAAAAGCTACTTTTACTAGATGAATTATTTTTATACGTGGGCAATGAATACAAACAATGGTCCGAAATAGAAAAGACGGCATGCGGTGAATATATTTTTAGTATCGCAAAAGGAACTAGACGAAGTTTATTGAATATTTATTCAGAAATAACGAGTAAAGAGAACGTGCGATAAAAAAGGCCAATAGTCGAGAATATGAGAGCACACAGCATGAGCTAGAAGTTGGAATCGTNTTTACTAGATGAATTATTTTTATACGTGGGCAATGAATACAAACAATGGTCCGAAATAGAAAAGACGGCATGCGGTGAATATATTTTTAGTATCGCAAAAGGAACTAGACGAAGTTTATTGAATATTTATTCAGAAATAACGAGTAAAGAGAACGTGCGATAAAAAAGGCCAATAGTCGAGAATATGAGAGCACACAGCATGAGCTAGAAGTTGGAATCGTAAGCGAACTGGGACTAGGTATGCACCAAATCCAATTCTAGATTTGGATCTGGATTTGATCAGTTTTGACTGAAATCGCTTGCAACTGTGATTAGATTTGAATTCAAGCTTTCTTGAATTTCATTATAATGCGAATTAATAACAAATTAAAGTGAATGTGACTTAACAAATTTTGCAGAGATCTCTGACTTTCTTCATGAAAAAACTCGAATACGATCAAATTTTGGCTAGCATTTTATTGGCTTTCTTTTCCAGAGTTTTGCTACCGATTCTCTGTCATATGAAAACAATGAAGATTTGGTTGGATTTGACAGTCAAATCCGATCAAACCCAAATCCAACTCCAGTCAATCTTGCTAAATCCAAACTCAAATCATGTCAAACCCATTTCAAATCCGAATCCACTCAACTTCAATCAAATCTAGGAATTGGAATTGACTAGAATTGGATTTTGTGCATACCTAACTGAGACCAAGAATCTATGATGATGAACACAATTGTGACAGAAATAAACCAAAGGGGAAAAGAAGATCTATAATAATCTCTGAAGATAAACGTTGTAATAGTAATGAATAGATTATTCTCATTTCTTAAGGTGAACAACACGTGGACATACGAGTTGATTCATCTTCTTCAGTTGTCTTTCATTTGACACCGCTTTTATACGCGTATGAGTCTTCAATTTCTATGAAGAATGAATTGATTTATAGCTCGAAAGATGTATCGATCTATACGAAAAGTGAAATATATCCATTTTTGAAGCAAAATCATAATTAACAAAATTATCAGATAACAATATTTCGAATTGTTAAGAGAAACCACTTTTATTATTACTGCACGGCTGGAATCAAATGATCATGTATGCAATTCAGTAGGCTAATCGATGCTTTGAGTCTTTCGATAGAAAGAAGATGGCAATTTCGTGAATCGAGAAATTATAGAAACTCGGACTAAAGTATGACATTCGATGAACCTTCTGGCGGAAAATCATTATTCATAATCCGCAACCTGTTATGATGGCACTCGATATCAAAGAATAATTAATAGGTGTTCGTGACATGACACTTACTGATCCACATCTGAAATGACGAAGAGAGTCCTCTGACAGACACAGCAAAATCTAAGTTTCAACATTTCTCAGTGAGTTTTATTAAAAATGACACAAGGAGCACTCAATAGAATCCGCTTCACTTCTGCACGAAACGTTTTCAACACCACGATATTTGCATAGCAGCCAATACTGTTCTCAATAAAATACACGAAATAAACTAGTGACAAAACGTATTGCTCAATTAATTACTGCTCGGTACTTTTTTCGTTTTAAGATGGAATTTCTCGGTAAAAATAGAAGATAGTTATTGAAAATTTACAAATGGTATAGCCGACGATGTCGATCTTTTGATTGGAATGTTCGAGGTCTTACAGTGACGGCAGTAGGTGAATTTCTGGTATGAATAGGTTGTGCGGTTTGACGAACTCCACGAATATTTCTCACTGGCCAACACCCAAACATGAGCATAAGTAGATTGTGCACGGATTCTCTTTGAGCGTATTCTGTGTAAACACCTCAAGTTCAATATGCATCTGAGAGTACCTATGAATATAAGTTCAGGACCACGGCACTCGAAGTAACTGCTGATATTATGTGATATGTACAATAGAATAAGACTAAACTGGGTAGGAGGTGAACGAAAGCGCATCGTTTATATATGTTCTAGTGACGTAAATAGATAAGCCACGCATTTTGAAACATAACAATAGCCGAAGATTATCAGAATTAGTAAAATACATATATAATCATCTCAACAGACTCGATGACATGCCTATTATTTTAGCCTATGTCGCACTAAATAAAAATAAGTACCGAGTGAAAGTGCAAAGCTTTTGTGAAAACCGATGTCAAAGTAGGAAAGTCCTTCATTTAATTTTCTACATTACAGCCTGTAAACCCTATCTGACGTAGATAACTCCTTTCGCTTCTGAGATTATCTTTTCTATATTTTTAATAAGAATTTAGTCGCCTTATTGTCACTATAGTTTCACTCTAATTGCATGTGTGACATTTAACACTGAAAGTTATAATTCCACAAGCTATCCTAGTTTATTTCATTGCTGTTCGTGGATATGAAGATCCATTATCTACAACCGTATCAACTAAGATACCATATGATAAGGAGGAAGTTGTTTTGTATTTCTCTCATTTATTTCATATCGTCTTGAGTCAAATACAAAATGACTATTATTTAATTTTTTTGCAAGAAAATCATACAAATGGTCTTTCTATAGAAACGCAACTATCACCATCTCGTCATTGTCCACAAGTTGACAAGTTCTTAAAAATACGTTGGCCTCCACTACGTCGTGTGAAATATTATCACAAAATCTGTCGAGAACATCCGCAGCTTGCCTGTTTTCATCTTGATTTCAATCAAACATCGCATGAGTGTCAATCGTTACATGATTGTCAAAACAATGCGTCATGCTTCCAAGATCGACCTTGTCCAAGTCGGATTTCGTGCATCTGCTCCGAATGTTATTATGGAAGTAAATGTCAGTTTACTACAAAAGGCGTTGGCCTCAGTCTCGATGTTATTCTTGCCTATCAAATCCGTCCTAATCTATCCATCGGTCGTCAGCCATTTTCTGTTAAATTCAGTCTAATCATCACTATGGTTATGTTTATTTTAACAGTCTTAACTGGAACGCTTTCATTGTTAACTTTCAAGAGTAAAATAATTCGACAAGTGGGATGCGGAATTTATCTGATCACATCATCGACTTTGACCTTACTGGTTGCGATTATTTTCACATTAAAATTCGTCTTTCCTCTAACAAGTCAAATGTCACTGGTCACAAATCGAGTCTTTTTATACTTGAATTGTTTGTCGATGGACTATTTACTGCGTTCGTTACTGGCGATAATTGATTGGTTGAATGCATGTGTTGGAGTAGAGAGAATTATCACAATTCACAAGGGAATCAATTTTAATAAAGAGAAAAGCCAATCGATATCTCGCTGGATTGTGTTAATAACAATAGTCTTGACACTATTAAGTAATGTTCATGATCCACTTCATCGGCGTTTAGCTGATGATGGAGAAGAAAGAAGAACATGGTGCATTGTCCATTATTCTTCTAAACAAGTGGAAATAATGAATTCATTGGTAAATTTACTTCACTTTCTAATACCGTTTTTCATTAATATTCTTTCCGCTTTCGTTATTATTGTTCTTATTACTCGATTTCATTCATTTGCTCGAAAACACAACTATCAAGAACAACTTCGTGGTGAATGTTCAATTCATAAACAACTCTTGATAAGTCCCATGATACTAATCGCTTTAGCATTTCCTCGTCTTATACTATCATTTCTATCGGGCTGTATGAAATCAGTTCGCGATCCATGGCTATTTCTGATTGGGTACTTTGTCTCGTTTATTCCATGCGTATTGCATAGCGTTATATTTATTCTGCCGTCAGAAGTATATCGAAAAGAATTACGAGATGTTATTCAACAAATCCGTGGAAAATTTCGATGATGATAATCGAATCTCTCGCAGAAACGCTTTTTTGTAATAGACTTTAATCATATACAAAAATCTGAAAACCCTCCAGACGAATCGTCTTCTTTTGCGTGCTAATAATAGTGAATTAGTCCGCATCGCAGTAGGCGTAAAGTGATCTTAGCATTGCTGTAGGCTGCAATTCAGTACTTTCGGATAAATGTGCACTGCCCTCATTTCGACTAATGTCGGTACATTCACACGAAGTTTGACAGATCACTTAGTGGATGTAGTTTCATATTTTGAATGTTGTGTCCTTTGGTAACGAAAGGACATAATCATAGGTCATTCACGAAATAGCATCTGATTTAGTTTTATTACAATATGAATCTTTTCATGAACGACAACTCAACTGACGAGCATTTAACAACATTCGTTTAAGCTCTGCACGAAAGGTTTTCGATACTAGAACGTTTGTATAACAACTAACAGCGTTCTCAATAAAATATACGAAATATGTTAACGACGATATATATTGTTCAATCAGTTGTTGTTCCATGTTTTTCCCATTGTATCGTGTAGCTTCTTGATAAATGTAAAAGAGCGCAACTGGGCTTTTACACAGAATGTAAGCAACGATTTCCACAAGCAACATTCGAATCAGTTGTTGATCTTTCGATTGAAAGATTTGTGGTCTTCCAATCACAACAACAACGGAATGTGTCGAGCCCGATTGTCGTGTTGCGTGACGGACTTTACGAATATTCTGTACTGTCCAACATCCAAAAATAAACATGAGCAGAGGTGGAATAACGCCATTAAATAGAAGTGAATAGTATGTGATAAACGTAGTGTATGCACCTGGTTCATAGTAACAAACAAAAAAATTAGGTCCATATGGAATTATTTGAACATGAATCAATGTATGAATATGAAACATCGCCCAAAATAAGCATATACAAATGATACTTGTGATAGCTAGTCGGCGTGTACTGTGTTTTCTTGTGTTGGCATTCGGTGAGGTGACGAGCGTTCGATCGATGGAGGCCAAGATAAGGCATGATGATTCCCAACATGTTAGTACGAAACCTATATAGAATCGGAACCGGCAAAGCTCAATGCTATTTGCACTAGGATCGATCTTGTAACCTGATGAGAGTACCAGCGAGAGAGGAGTCGTATAGAAAGTAGCAAGATTAACAATGTTAACTGCGATCAAACAAATTGTACATGGATTTTTGCGTAGTGTGCTCCGTGCGAATACCAAGAGGTTCAAGCAACAACTGATAGTACCAATTGCTATAAGTATGGGGCCACCATATTTGAAAAGATTTTGTTGAAAAGCGTAGAGGAATGCTGCTATAGACATTATTGTGGTAAGAACAAACTAAGATGACAGTGAAGTCATATGAAAACTTATCCTTATTATACATGTCAATGGCATTAGTAGTTAACTCTACGACTGCAGACAGGATGAAATGAGAGCTGATTAGAAGCGTCAACGAGAAGAGAGGCAGATGACGTAAGCCATTGAAAAAAGACTTTAACGTTTCGAAAAGACCAATGAATGGATTTTATTCTTGTAATTAGTCATTATAGTTTTCAGCGATTAGCTATTGTTTAGAAAGAAAGAAACGCTATTTTTATCGCATAAATTATTCCACTTTTGCAATGAACACGCGCAGTTTAAAATGGAATTTGAGTTCAAATGATGAGTATATTTTTAGTTTCTCGGTGAACACTAAATAATTTAATTCCATTTTCTACGAACGACAAAGTGTCAACAAATCTCAATTTCTCTAAACATCAGTCATTACTGAGAAATACTGATGATATAGCATACAGAACAAGATCGAATCTCATGTCTTCTCAATAAGTCTGTATTTCGAATCATTGAAAATATGAATAATACCTTTCGATGATATGCACTGTACTCGTTAAGAAATCTATCCTATTCTATCAAAGGAATACCATCAAAATACTACCGCCGAGAATCATGTCAGAGAAATGAAATATGCCTGGCAGTCTCGTCATGACTTATCTACGTTCATCTTTTTCTCAGTTAGATGATCATCGCATAGAAAGCACTGTTCACTATTGCTTTTCTGTCGTTCTTTTCTTCTCCTATGCATAAACACCATCTGTTCGAGTGAGAACGAGTCAATGAAATTGAATCTGTGTTTTTCTCACCGATTTTTTGCTTCGCCTTTTCTTGTTCTGTATATGCATCATATATACAGAAAAAGATACACGGGAACAGTAAAACGCGTCTACATACATTCAAATTCTCATTTGAACAAACAACATCTATTGCTATTTTATGACATCATCTTCCTTAAAACACTACTGATAATATAATGATTCGCGCAGACAAAAGTGTAACTTACGACTACTTAAAACGATCCGTGTCAGTGTCGCAAGAAAAGTTCTCACAATACATAAGAATAAAATCTGAAAGCAGCATGAATAACGTTGTCTGGAATCAGTAAAGGAAAACTGCATGTTTTTTGTTTCCAACAATACATTTCAATTTTTAACTTAAACTGATTTGTTCACTGTTTGACATGCCACATAAATATTCTTCGTTAAGTGCAGTGAATTTTCTCGTTGTCATAAACGATACGTGCCCACTGACAATTTACTATTGAGCGATCGTCCGATACATCAATAGCATTTCAACGGTGTAGGTATCGACAAGAAAAACGCCATTTGTCTATACACAAACTACAGGCTGAGCACATTCATCGTTTCATTTAATCAACTTCTATTTTGTCTCAATGCATCATGAAATACGAACGCAGTGACTCTCATAAGTAGCAATGCAGTTGGTTCTGGTCTTCACCATTTATCAAGATTTTGTATGATTTATATAATTCATATACTGTTTTCGCCGTAAAAGAAAAGATATTTGTATTCGTGTTGTAAACATTTCTAAGATAGACAGGTTCTTTCTCGTGCGGTGATGTCTTTTTGCCCGATCAAACGCTTTTCTCCGAATATTTCTCAAGCATTGAATGTACCGAATCGAATATATTGAAAGATTGTTTTCAAAACTAATCTCCTTATTCAGATTTACATGACAAAGCAAATAATCATCGAATAAAGCGAACCATTTGGGCGGTTAGAAGACGGTGGCGATATTTCGTTCATATATATTTCAGCTAATGATGAAATTGTTCTCGGTCAGAAATGTTTCTCGCATGGATCTGTATGTGGTGTTTTGACACACGAACTAATGCATCTCATTCAGTCATATCCTGAGGGTCAGCCAAGTTAGCTTGTAGAAGGTATTGCTGATTATATCCGTTGGAAATATGGATCAAATGATACAAACAGTCGTTGGTGACTACCTGATTTTCAACCTGGTCAACATTGCACAAATTTATATGGAGTTACCGGTCGATTTTTAGTTTGGTTGGAGAAAAATAACTCTCCTCATATCATTACGCGTTTAGATCGAGAACTAAGAAACAATCGATTCAAAAAAAGATCAAATATGGTCTAAATTGACACGTCAAAGTGTTGATCAATTATGACAGAATTACAGCAACAATTCCGAAATATGAATATTGAACTAATCTTGCAGTTTGCTTGAATATATTCATTTTTCTCTCGAATAAATACACTACATCTATGTATAGTTGTCATCTCATGTTCCATCAGAGTTTGGATGGGAAAGATTTTGTGGTAATGGTCGAAGAGGTTGTCGAATATTAGTACTAGTATGGTAAGGAAAGGTTGGATTCGATGAGGGTACAATAAACCAAGAGCCAGTTGAGGGTCGCCATACAGCAATATCTGTTTTTCCATCACCATCAAAATCTGATCCTGGAACTGGAATATCATCGGGTAAACCCCATTGATATATGATGATATGTGCAGGATTCTGTGAAGGTAAAATAAACCACATACCAGTTGCTGGACGCCAAACAGTGAAATCGAACTTGCCATCACCATCAAAATCACCAGGTCTAAAAAAAGATGTCAGAGATAAGAGAAAGAATCGATGCCGAAAAGTTGTTTACGCTGCCAGATCATGAAATTGTGGAACACCCCATTGCATGGTGATTTGTAGCACAGGATTTCTGGATAACATGATGTACCAGACACCACTCGATGGCTCATAGATAGTAAAGTCATTAATCAAATCTCCATTCCAATCTGCAGCCACTATTGACCATGGAAAAGAAACAAAACTATATTGAATACAACATGGAAATGTTCATTTACAAGATGTGTCATTCTTTGTGAATCCCCAATGTTTTGTTTGTTGTATGCCACCTCCTCCGAGCATCAATGTATACCAAAATCCAGTACTTCGTCGAAAAACAGCTAGATCAGCTTGATAAACACAAAAGTAAAGATTACAATTCGAATCATCATCGATAACAGAAGAAACAACAAAAGCTCACATCGTTTGTCTCCATCAAAGTCTCCATCTGACGCACATCCAAAACAATGAATAATCAATACAAAACAGACACTTGATAAGTGTGAACTCACCAGCGGCATCATCTCCTTCGAAACCCCAAGCCTTACGAATGATAACATTGGGCATTCGACTTGGAATAATTTCCCAAACATATGTGCGATTGACTCTCGGTCTCCACAAAGCAAAATCACCTATCGATATTGATGTGAAAAATGTAGTCAATCCTCTCTGTGTGATTACCTTTTCCATCGCCATCATAATCACCTGCTACAGGTATATCTGTTGGATGACCCCATTGAAATGTAATGAGAAACGATGAGATGTTATAAGGCATGATAAACCATTCGCCTGTCTCACGTCGATAGATACCGAAATCTGTTCGATGATCACCATCAAAATCTGCACAAAACGGTGTCTCATAAGGGAAACCCCACTGATATTGATAGATGAGATGAGAATTGTTACTTGGTATCCATGACCATATGGTATTACTCGATGTCCAAACAGTGAAATCTGTTTTGCCATCTGCATCAAAGTCACAGTTCGAAAGAGGAACATCTCCTGGTTGACCCCTGGTAAATATGTGCCGAAAGGTAGGAAGGACGAGAGAGAGAGAGAGAAACAGAAGCGATGTGCTGAAATGCCTTACCATTGTTTAGTCCATTGTACAGTTGGATCATTCGATGGATTGATGTAAAAAGCACCTTTACGATAAACACAAAAATCTGTTTTACCATCTCCATTGTAATCACCAGCACATGGAAGATCATCTGGTTGACCCCTTGAACAAATAAGAAAATGAAGTATTTTATGAATGTCAAAAATTTCGTAATAACCATTGATGAACAAAATGAAAAGATGGATTACTACTTAAATACGATATCCATTGTGTTGTTGATGGACGAAAGAGAGTATAATCAAACAAATGATCTCCATCGAAATCACATTGAACTGGAATATCACCAGACAATCCCCAACGTTTACTAATGAGTACATTAGGATCATTACTTGATGAAATTATCCAAGTCATGCTTGTCTGACGATAAACAGCAAAATCAGCAAAACCATCACCATCATAATCAGCAGGAATCTAAATATATTTATGAGTGAAAGATAAGTTTTACATGTGATTGACATTACTGGAATATCAAAGATTGATCCCCATTGTAAAATGATTGGTTGAATGAGATTTTGTCGATAGATTTGATAAGATAACATCCGTGGTGATGATGGTGATGATGATATAAGATATGTCCAGATAGGATCTGTGAATAAATCGGGTTGATCATCAATACCTAATGTTCCTGGATGACGAGTTTTGTTAATAATTAAATCTGAGATATATTGTCCATCACCTTCAGTCATAGGCCAAAGATCAATTAAACATCGTTCATTACCTGTTAAATTTGTCATTTGCATAAAATGAAGAATATTTGTGGGTAAATTTGGACACATCCAAAGTCTTACATCTCTTACAGCACCAAAAAATCCTTGACCAATAATAATTTCATCAAATGATGGATGACTTTGAACAATAAATCTTTCATTTAACATCCATTGTCCATTTAAATACAATTGTAATTGTTTTTCATTTGGTAAATAAACACATGAGATATAAATCCATTGATGTAATGGTAAAATCATTGATGTTTTTATCTTTAATAATTGTTGTATTTGATTTTGAAATGAAATTCTTATTTGACCTGTTTTATCAATAATTAATAAAAATTCCTTTCGAAAATTAATAATTTGTATTGATTTTTGAATAATATTAATATTAGTAGCAGATTTTATCCAAAATTCAAATGTAAAACCACTTGTTGAAAAATCCATATTAATATTTTTTATTCGAATAAATTGATAATTTGATGTAAAAACTAATGCAGATATTGTTGATTGACATATACAAATAGTTGACCAATAATTACAATCAATTGTTTGATGAATTTGAGAATTTATTTGATCAATTTGAAATTGTTTTATTAATAAAATTAATTGAAGTTCATCTAAAATATCAGATAATGAATAAACAAGTAATGAATATATTTTCCATTGTTTTTCTTTATTTGACCATTGAGCTTTGATTTGAAGTTGATTAAAAAGCATTTGTTGTATTTCATCAATATTAAATGTTTGTTTTGTATTTGATATTAATATCCATGGAGATTTTCTTGTAGTTTTAAGATGAAATAAAACATTTGTTTTATTAATAAAATTTGTATAAAATAATTGATGATTAATAATAAATTCAAAATATTTTAAATTGAAAATATGAGTAACATAAAAATGTTTTGTTTGATTAAAAATAGAATGAAAAAGAGTAATAAAATAAGTTTTATTGATGGTTTTATCAATAAATTGAAGTCGTTGAAAATATTTTTCAATAAATTCATTTTGTTGTTTTTGATGAAGATATTTTCCATAATTTAAATTTGTTCTTAAATAATTTAAATTTGAATGTGTTATGATTAGATGTGATGATTTAGAAATATAATATTGAAATTGTAATTTAATTTTTCCACATAAAATTTGTTGTAATATGAAATATGTAAGATTAATTGATGAACAATAAAATTGACATTTAATAGGAAAATTATTTGAAATATTAAATTGAATACAAGGATAAACAGATGAAATTGGAAGAAATGTTTTTGGATGAATAATATAAATAATTAATGTATGAATAGGTAATGGTTTAATTAACCAAAAAAGTACAAATCTTTTAACATTAGGATGCATTTGAATAATAATAGATTGTCGAATAAATTCATCAAATTGTGATGAAGTTGAAAGAAATTGAAGAAAAATTTGTTGATTAAAATGATAAATATCTTTAGTTGAATTAAAAATAATTAAAGGATCATACCAAAATTTCCAAGTTTTTGGTTCATAAATTGAATTTTTTGTTGATTTATAAATATTTATATTTCGTTGTGAATATTTGACTGTTGTGAGAAGAATTTTATCAATTATTTCAAATTCATTTTGTATAAAATGAAATAATGATGTAAATAAGAGAAGATTAATTATTAACAAATACATTTTATGTCAAATGAATTTTTCATTGTTTGAGAAGAAATTGTGAAAAACAAAATTTGAATGTTTATTTCAATTTGAAAGGTTAAAACAATTGATTATATAATACAATAATAAAAAGAAACAAAAGAACATGATATTTAACATATAGAAAAGGTGATGAAATGTATAAAAATACAATGTACTTTAGATTTATTGATTTCTCTTTACAAATATCAATGAGAAATTTATTAAATCAATTCATTTTTCGAATGAAAAGAAAAAAAAAAGACAAAAATCATCGAATAAGAAATGATTATGATTTAAAATATTAAAATAATCAAATCAATCATTTTTATTTTGATTTTAATTTATTAAATTCAATGAAAAATAAATATTAAATTTGAATAATAATGATCAATTATGTAAAGAAACATTGATATAATTATTAATTGTATCTCGAAAGATTATATCAAGTTTAGAATCATAATTAATATCAATGAAGATGATTGATGATGATATATTTGGAAGTTCACATCTAATTTGTTTATTAAATTCAGTTGAATTTTGATTGAAAAGAATTGTGATACTTTTTGATTGGGTATTTATAAGAATAATATCTGATTTCTTATCTTGATTTAAATCAACTATTGTAATGAGATGTGAATATTGACCAACAAAATATTGAAATTTGTTAACAAATGTTCGATTACCAATGTTAATCAGAATAGAAATATAATTTTCATGATCAAATGCGACAATGATATCTTGTAATTCATCGTTATTAATATCAATTATTGCCAATGCAATTAGATTTTGTTTGAATGAATAATAAATTCGTTGGTCAAATGTATTTTGTTGATCATTAAATGCAATACCAATTGTTGAGATATTTTTGTGAAAGAGAATGATGTCATGTTGATGATCATTATCAAGATCAGCAATGAGAATTGATTCAAAATAATGTCTAAAATTGAAAATATCATAGAGTTTGAAAGATTTGTTGCCTAAATTGAATAAAATTGAGATGTTATTAGAAGCGACATATCCAATAACAATATCAAGTTTATCATCATTGTTCATATCTGCGATTGAGAGGAAAAATGGTGTTTCTTGAGTTTGATATTTCATTGGTTTCATAAATGTGCCATTACCATAATTAAAAAGAACCTCAATTGCTGTTAGTGTAAACACATTAATAACAACTAGATCCAATTTCTTGTCATTATCGAAATCTCCTGTGGACAATATCATAGGTACCATTCCAAAACTATCAGAAGTGCTTGGTGTCATGAATGTACCATCACCCTTGTTAAACAAAATGCTGATTTGACTTGTTCTGATACCAATTAAGACAATGATATCTGGTGCATGATCATCATTGACATCTTGAACAGCGAAGGATGCGATTCTCTCGTTAAGTTTATATGAATAGAAACAGGAAAATAAAGTGTTGCAATCTATGTTGAATATCTATATAGAATAAGAAAAGATATTCAAGAATATTCTTACTGTTCATTGTTAATGTTGAACAAGGAGATGTCGTTATTTCTGTTGACACAGTTGAAGTTCTGAGTTGTTCAATAGTTGTAGTTTTGTCAGGTTGAGTGACCATAGTGGTGAACTGTTCAGTGATTGTGCTTTTAGATTGGTCAGTGATTGTAGTTTTGGATTGTTCAGTGATTACAGCGTTGAACTGTTCAGTGGTGGTGGTGTTGTTGAAGTTGATGTTAGTTTTCTTTGTTCGAATAAAGACATAGAGAATAATGACGATCACAACGAGAACAACAATGCATATTATCATACAGCTTAATTTTCTGTTTCGTCGAAAACAATCACATCTAATAAAGTTCAAAGAAAACAAATTGTGTGAAGATGTTCTTTGTAAATTTGACATACAAAATTCTTGTAGACGTTGTGTTCACATGGATCAGTTCAGACTAGAATATATAAAGATGAAAAGTAATGAAGATTGTTTTATTAGATGAAAATTACGTTAACATCATGAATTCTGTTGTTGTTCTTGTTGTTCATCGTTGATAATTTGGAATAACTTCACAGAATATCTTTGTACAGGAATTGTTTTGAATAATATTAACATCTGTTCTGACCTATGGCATATTGTATTATTTATCGATATTCATCTGGAAAAGATGCATCCGGATAAAAAAATATGAGGAAAATGGAACTAACTGAACGAAGTTGTGGTGTTGTGAAAACATGATTTCAACCAAAGATTATTAATCATGTGAATCATTTACAGTTCTTGTTTAGAATTGAACTTGAGCAATGGAGTATCAGAGATTTGTCAATGAATAGTTATTTGAAAAAGAGAAATCGATCGATATCAACTGAAGCTGTTCACAATGAACAGAACAGAGTGATACTATAGTTTAAGAAACGTTTTTATTTTCTACATGTTTAGTTTTCCGATCGAAGAAAATGCATTGATTTTCACTTTGATTGTTGTGCATTATGGAAGTAAAGAAAAAACTGATATGATGAGAAATCAGTTATGTTTAACATGAGAATGAAAAGTTAATCAGATATTTTGTGATTCTTACAGAAATTGCATCATATGTGAGATTTGTCGACAGAAGGAGAGATAGTATATCACGAAGTAAATGTTGGATCTAATATGATGAATTGATCCGTTGAACAAAAGTGATATTGTCAAAGAAAAGAGCAAAGCTTTATAGATCCTAGAAACATGAAAGCTTCACTTTTTCTTTCTTTGTGTTAATTGAAAGAATAGTTTGAATGTCTTTCAACTCTTAGTGGAAATATGAAAATGCGCATTAAGAGCACATTAGTTTTGACGAAACATCATAGAATGTGCAATAAAATCTTCTTTTCATATATGAACGACGCAATAGAATTAACAAAGCGTGCTTTTGATGTTGACTTTGATGAATATAACATGTACAGGAACAACTGACCTTGTGTGATATCAGATAGAAGAAGAAACAGACACAGATGATGATGATCATCATCATCATCATTATTCAAATAAAATCTAAGTCAAACTAGAAAACATTTAGACGAGTTCGTTGAGAAAACAGGAAGTCTGAATTGTGTGACAAAGTGTCATTATTTTTGTAGATCCACATCAATTATTTTCTATCCTCTTCATTATGTTGACAAAAAGAGAAAAGAAATCTTTGTGAATCGAGATTTGTTGAAAGATCTAAATGAAGTTCTTTTTTCACACTCGTCACGATTCTATTTGACATTTGATCTTTGAAGTGGAATGAAATTTCGTCGTTTTCTTTGCTTTCTTTCTCATTATCAATCAAATGAATATTTAATGACTGGTTCCTCTTGAAAATATAGACAGAGATGAAAGATGACGACTGATTTTGAAGAGTTCTTAGACATACAAAAGAGATCATCTAACTTATAAATGACAAACATATCGACAACAGCATTAACATCAACAATCATTCTAAATCCAAATATTATCACAAATTATTTGGGCACATTTATTTTAGTATTTGGTGCAATTGGTGAATTTCTAAATTTGGTGGTTTTTCTTAGTCTTCGAACATTTCGAGAAAGTTCTTGTGCATTTTATTTGACATTGGCTTCATTTTTCAAAATTCTTCAAATCTTCACTGGTCTTTTATCTCGTGTTTTTACGAGTATTACAGCTGTTGATTGGACAGCGATTTCGCCATTCTATTGCAAATTTCGTGGATATTTTGCTGAATTTTCTCCGTTGTGTACATTGGGTTTAGCTTGTTTAGCAGTGATTGATCAATATTTTGCCACATCAACACATCTTCGTTGGCAACAATGGTGTGATATCAAAGTGGCTTATCGATTATCATTTCTAATGACAACATTTAGTTTGATAGGTGCCATTCCACATGGAATCTTCTTCGAATTAATCGAATCACCAATAACGAAACGATATGCTTGTATATTGAATAACAAAGCTTTTGATTATTATAATACAAATGTGAATTTACCACTTTTCTTTGGTCCACTTCCAATGTTTATTACAATTATCTTTGCAATATTAACATATCGTCATGTGAAACAAATTGCATATCGAACAGTACCATTAGTTCGTCGTCGACTCGATCAACAGTTGACAACGATGGTTTTAACACAAACTGTTTTCAATTCTTTTGCAATTATTCCATATGTAGCCATGGTTATGATTGTTAATCATACAACTCTTCTCACTGATGCATCGACTGGCAATGTGACACTATTTGTTCTGACGACAATTGCGATTACCTATTATCTTTATCCAACAGTGAGTAGTAGTAGAAGAAGAAGAAGAATATGTTATTCTTTGAGTAAATGATGACTAAACATTGTTCATTCTGATTTAGAGTTCATTCTATATTTATATGTGCACATCGGAAAGATTTCGTCAGCAATTACGTTATGTTTTATTCGATATTCATTTCAATGGATGGTTACGTCGAAAGATCAATCCTGTGAATAACATTGCATAGATCAAATGAGAATCGATTCAGATGGATGAATCATCATATTATTCTTTTCGTTCAAAAACATATTCAGTTAATCTATGTATTCATGTGACTAAATCTGATCGTAACAAGGCATAAGAGTGGCAGTCATCGTGTTCATACCAGCCCTGGTAGTACTGCTGGTGAAGAACAGCAACAACAATGATTGGGTTTGTGTGCACATTCATAACAACATGGACTTTTTGAAGACGTTTTTGAATAAATTTAGTGAGTTGTGATGAATAGGGAGGTGGAATTGAAAGATTGAGAGATAGACATGTTGCATAGTTGATAGTTGTGAGGGTCATGTAACGGTAGGGAGTGGCTTACGGGACTCAAGATAAGGTTACTGGTGAATCAAGAGGACCTACCACATCCAACGGCTGCTAAGAATGTTGGTAGTTATGGTCGGTTTTATTTATTTGAAATAAAGACGAAGTAAGACTATCTCTTCATATGATAAATATAAAGAGAGTACAGTGTTCTTTTTTGGAAAATAACAAGTCTAAACTGTACACATAGATATAAAGTTCTTCAGTTTGCAAATGACGAAGAACAGAGCACGAAACGAAAGTCATGGTTTTGAAATACAGACAGAAAAACAATCTATGTAAGCATTCGAAGCAATTCGTCAGTACGCTGCCATTTGGATATATATATATATATAGAAGCGCATTGAATGGATAACAAACGATATTTATTATTCGACACAAAGCATCAGTTCATCTGAGTAGTCATTAGTAAATTTCTGAAAATTTCTCGGGATAAGGAGAAGCTCCACCAAAAATGAATACTTTTCCATTTGGTAGCAGAGACGTTGTGTGCTAAAAGCGTGCCGACTTCATATTTCGAGTAATTGTCCAGATATCAGTTGATGGATCGTACAGCTCAGCGCTACTCATCAAGGTATCATAACTTCCACCAGTGACTAAGACTTTTCCGTTTGGTAACAAAACTGCCGAATGAGCATAACGTGGGAAGTTCATATTACCTGTCATAGTCCATTGATTCATCAAGGGATCAAACAATTCAGTAAATTCTCGCCCGCCGTCGTGTCCACCGGTTACCAGCACGCTTCGATCTTTGAGGACAGTTGCTGTATGATGAGTGCGGTCAATGTTCGTGTCATTTGTTCTTATCCACGCATCTGCTATCGGATCGCACAACTCACTCGTCTTTCGAGACATACCTGTGGAGCAAAGCCTCGATCCACCAGTGATTAGGACATTTCCATTTGTTAACAGAGATGCTGTATGATGTGCGCGCCTGCAGATCATGTTTTGAGTAGCTGTCCAAACAACTGTCTGGGGATCGTATAGTTCAGCAGTGTCTGGACGCCTTTCTCTTCTGTTCCAGCCACCTACAACGAGTACTTTTCCACTCTGCAGTATAGTGGCTGTGTGTCCCGATCGTTGATGGATCATGCTTAGTGCATTTGTCCATGTGTTCGCTGATGCATTGTACAGTTCAGCAGTCGAAACCACTCCGTCAGAATTTTCACCACCAGTCACTAGGACTAAACCATTAGTTAACAAAGATGCAGTATGATCGTTCCTTGCGACAGACATGTTTGCAGCGAGTTTCCATAGATTTCTTGATGGATCATATAGTTCACATTCACGAAGAACTCCTTTGCGACTGTGTCCACCGGTGATCAATACCTTTCCATTTTGCAGTACAGTTGCAGTATGCCGATTCCGATTGATGTTTAGTTCTGCTGCCGTTGTCCATTCTAAATACATTTCACACCTTCAAATAATGCTCATTCAAAGAATTATTCTTCTCAACTGAACGCTACGGACAGGAATCTGATTTTTTATTGTAGCAGAGTGTAACTATGCAATGCGTGTACACACAATGAACAGATATTCAGACCTCGCGGTGTGGTAGTTGTGTTGGTCATCATAGTTGCTGTTGACGTTGTTGGTACTGCTACAGTAACCAACAGAACTGAGTTTTTCTTTGCCATAATTATTACGATGATAACACCTATGGTCATCATTAGTACTGTTGTTAGACTCGTCGAAAAAATCTTCTTCCATTTTCGTCGACAATATTCACAACTAAATACAAGAATAAAAGAAGGACATTGCTCTCGTTTCGGAACTCATCTGATACTTTACCGTGTTCTTGATTGAATATCAGTTGTTTGTGGTGGATAGGGTTGATCGAATTGTGACTGAAAGAGTAGAAAATACAATGGAAGATAGGTTGAAGTATGTTGAACGATAAATTACATGAGAGATCGCAGAAACTTGATTAGAAAACATATTGTATGTTGGTTGTAAGCTGAGTGAGAAGAGAAAGAAACTAGTTTTGTTGGAGAGAAAGATTAGAACAAAAGTAAATGCATGAGCAGATGTCTCAAAGATTTATGGGTTTGATACATTTTTGCAAAATCATTTAGTTGAGAGTATTGTTCAAGTTGTCTCATAGTTTTATGTCTGCGATACTACCTCGGGAACCCTACTAAGACTCACCCTGGTTTAATATGTAGGTTCAATAATCCCTAAGCTCTATGTGTTATTTCTCTGAAGTAGCTGAGATGTTTGTGGCGTACTACTGTTTAGCAAAAATCTGCTTAAATTACTAAGATAAGAAGTATGCAAGACAGATTTTCAACACAAAAGAATATACTGATCAAAAATAAATCTTCTACTCATTAATAAATCAAACTGATTACTTTTATACGACCCATCGAAACCGCAATAGAGTTCGAGACAGGACGATTGTATACACTGCGGCCTTTGCATAAAGAACTGTCGCGAAATGTCTTGAGACTATCACATGAAAGTACCACGTCAGTTTTTAAATCCTTATTGGCACTGTATGCTTCAATGCAAAACAAAAATTCCATCCATTCCTGCATGTGCGGAGGAAAAGCGTAGCGAAGTATTCTTTCGTTGGGAGAGTATTTCTACAGAAACAAAGAGCCAGATAGAATACAACGTATTTGAATTCTTTCACGGCAGGTAAACTGAGTCGTGGGCGATCATATTGACGTCAAGAAATGATTGAGTTTCACGGTTAGAGCTAATAAATAGTATTATAATACTATTAACTACTTATTCGTTTCGATTTAGCTCGAAGTTGAAATCTATGCGTTGAGCAACCTTGTCTGAGTTTTGAAAGCTTACGACAACTATTATGAAGAGAAGAAAACGAAAAGAATGATTTATTCTCACGCTCACAACTACATCATACGACATTATAAACATATGTACACACCGTTTCGTTTAGTGTTTGTGATGGTGATGATGGTGACCGTGTTTATGATGATGTTCAGATTGATCATCTCTATTCCATTGCTGACCATAATCTCCTCGATCATTATAAGTAAACTGATCACTTCCATTCCATTGTTGATTATATCTTTCACCATCATTGTAATTAGAACGATCGTCTTCGCTCCACTGCTGATTGTTTTCTCCGCCGTCGCCGTACTAAAAAGGGTCATCTCTATTCCGCGAATCGCCATCAAAACCACATGCGGCGTTATCGAAAAAGTTTATTCGAAAATCATCTCCATCGAACTGTTCAATTGTACGGTTATCTGTATTGCTATTGTCATTGTAATCCCAATGCGATTGACCGAAATCGTCGTTGGGAACTTTTCGAATTGTCCACGCATCAAGACAAAGGTCTGCATCTGTCATATAATCGTACGGTATATAACAGTATCCTCGATCGCCCTGTGGAATATTAAACGAAAATTTTTATTGAACTTGTTTATCTACAACTTTCCTTACCCAGTCTGTCCCCCAAGAATTTCGAACAATGAAGGGCTACGACTGATCGCTATAACCGACAGCAACTAACCCATGAATAACGGAAAATAAGAAAAAAAATTCCATCAGAGTTTCCAGTAAAGAAATTGATCTAACTGCCATCAGATTGACGACTACGATCGCTTGCACTCGGCATCGGTACCGCACCTGTCTTAGCTGCTTTATCAAATGACGTGAACAAATGGAGACCAAATACAAACGGAAAACCTGCTTAATTCAGACTAAATGATTCTACATAAGCTTAGACCGACATCTGCGATTTCTTCGACAATTTTGATCTTCTCATTGATTTTGTGTTTCGGAACCTCTAGACATGTTTATTTGTACTTCATTACTCACATTATGAACCAAAGAGAAGTCATTATCCGAGGTCAACGTTTACAGTATAAAGTAAGAGTACGAATGAAAGCAGAAGTGAACGAGATGGATACCTGTAAATTCCAGGTTTCTGACTGAAGAATTGCATTTTTCTATGATTAACTAAAGAACGAACCACTTTCATCATATTCCGTAAGTTTTTATTTAGAAATAGAACTTCTCATTTTCCTTACATGAATTATTCACAAGAACACTTCTTCTAGTGACATCTCACTATAGTATATTTCTGTAGTTCCACTACGAGAACTGAAAGTTCCGCCAACAACCAAGACTTTTCCACTAGTCAGTAAAGATGCTGTGTGATAATAGCGACTATTTTTCGTGTTACCAGCGACTATCCAAGCGCCGGTAGATGGATCGTACAGTTCAGAACTGTTTAAAGAGGCACTGGAGAATCCGCCAACGACTAAGACTTTTCCATTTGGCAGCAAAGTCGCTGAATGAGCATAGCGTGGGGTGCTCATACTACATGTTGTGGTCCATTGATTCGTGAATGGGTTGAATAATTCAGTAGAGTTCCACATCGATATGGCCAGATCACGTCCACCGGTTACCAGCACGCTTCGATCTTTGAGGACAGTTGCTGCATGATGATAGCGACCAATGTTCGTGTCATTTGTTTTTATCCATGCATGTGCTATCGGATCATACAACTCACTCGTCTTTGGGGACATACTTATAGAGCAAAAACCCGGTTCACCAGTGATTAGTACCTTTCCATTTGACAGCAACGATGCTGTATGATATACATGACTGCAAATCATGTTTTGAGTAGCTGTCCAAACACCTACCTGTGGATCGTATAGTTCAGCAGTATCTAGACGTCCTTCTCCTTTCTTCGAGCCACCTACAACGAGCACTTTTCCACTCTGCAGTACAGTGGCTGTGTGTCCCGATCGTTGATGGATCATGTTTTGTGTGTTCATCCATGTATTCGCTGATGCATTGTACAGTTCAGCAGTCGAAACCACTCCGTCAGCATTTTCGCCACCAGTCACTAGGACTAAACCATTAGCCAGTAAAGATGCGGTGTGATAATCCCTTGGGGCAGACATGTTTGCAACGAGTATCCATCGATCTCTTGATGGATCATATAGTTCACATTCGCGAAGAACTCCTTTATGACTGTGCCCACCGGTGATCAATACTTGTCCATTTTGCAATACAGTTGCAGTATGCCGATTCCGATTGATGTTTAGTTCTGCTGCCGTTGTCCATTCTAAATACATTTCACGCCTTCAGATGATGCTCATTGAAACAATTATTCTTCTCACGCGAACTTTATGAAGAGGGATCTGATCCTTTATCGTATGAGGGTATAACTATGCAATACGTGTGCATAGAATGAAAAANTGTGTGACAAAGTGTCATTATCTTTGTAGATCCACATGAATTATTTTCTATTCTCTTCATTATGTTGACAAAAGGAGAAAAGAAGTCGTTGAATTGGGATTTGTTGAAAGATCTAAATGGAGTTTTTCTCCACACTCTTCACGAGTCTATTCGACATTTGTTCGTTGATGTGGAATGAAATTTCGTCGTTTTCTTCGCTTTTCTCTCTCTCTCTCATCATCAATCAAATGAAGATTTAATGATTTGTTCCTTTTGAAAATATAGACAGAGATGAAAGATGGCGTCTGATTTCGAAGAGTTCTTAGACATAAAAGAGATCATCTAACCTATAAATGGCAAACACGTCAACAACGTCATTTACATCAACAATCATTCTAAATCCAAATATCATCACAAATTATTTGGGCACATTTATTTTAGTATTCGGTGCAATGGGTGAATTTCTAAATCTCGTCGTTTTTCTTAGTCTTCGAACATTTCGAGAAAGTTCATGTGCATTTTATTTGACAGTGGCTTCATTCTTCAAAATTCTTCAAATCTTCACTGGTCTTTTATCTCGTGTTTTTACGAGTATCACAGCTGTTGATTGGACAGCGATTTCGCCATTCTATTGCAAATTTCGCGGATATTTTGCTGAATTTTCTCCCTTGTGTACGTTGGGTTTAGCGTGTTTAGCAGTGGTCGATCAATATTTTGCCACATCAACACATCCTCGTTGGCAACGATGGTGTGATATCAAAGTGGCTTATCGATTATCATTTCTAATGACAACATTTAGTTCGATAGGTGCCATTCCACATGGAATCTTCTTCGAATTAGTCGAATCACCAATAACGAAACGATATGCTTGTATATTGAATAACAAAGCTTTTGATTATTATAATACAAATGTGAATTTACCACTTTTCTTTGGTCCACTTCAAATCTTGATTACAATTATCTTTGCAATATTAACATATCGTCATGTGAAACAGATTGCATATCGAACAGTACCATTAGTTCGTCGTCGACTTGATCAACAGTTGACAACAATGGTTTTGACACAAACTGTTTTCAATTCGTTTGCAATTATTCCATATGTAGTCATGGTTCTGATTGTTAATCATACAACTCTTCTCACTGATGCATCGACTGGCAATGTGACACTGTTTGTTCTGACGACAATTGCGATTACTTATTATCTTTATCCGACAGTGAGTAGTAGAAGAAGAAGATGTTAGTCTTTGTGTAAATGATGAGTAAAGGGCGTTAATTCTGATTTAGAGTTCATTCTATATTTATATGTGCACATCGGAAAGATTTCGTCAGCAATTACGTTATGTTCTATTCGATATTCATTTCAATCGATGGTTACGTCGAAAGATCAATCCTGTGAATAACATTGCATAGATCGATCCAGACGGANGTTTTCCCCCTAAAAAAACTGTATTTTACTGCAAATTTGTTCATTTTTGAGAGGTTTTCTTTGTGAAAGGGGCCAAAAAAAGCGTTCATTGTTCAGAGTTGGGAGGTGTTCATTATGTAGAGGTGCAATCACAGCAAAAATCACTCGGGGGGACCGATGAACGTGTTCAAACGAGAGGTGTTCATTATAGAGAGGTGTTCATTAAGGGAGGTTTCACTGTATAAAGTTCTTCAGTTTGCAAATGACGAAGAACAGAGCACGAAACGAAAGACATGGTTTTGAAATACAGTCAGAAAAACAATCTATGTAAGCATTCGAAGCAATTCGTCAGTACACTGCCATTTGGATATATATATATAAGCGAATTGAATGGGTAACAAACGATATTTATTATTCGACACAAAGCGTCAGTTCATCTGAGTAGTCATTAATAAATTTCTGAAAATTTCTCGGAATAAGGAGAAGCTCCACCAAAAATGAATACTTTTCCATTTGGTAGCAGAGACGTTGTGTGATAAAAGCGTGCCGACTTCATATTTCGAGTAATTGTCCAGATATCAGTTGATGGATCGTACAGCTCAGCACTATTCATCAAGGTATCATAACCTCCACCAGTGACTAAGACTTTTCCGTTTGGTAACAAAACTGCCGAATGAGCATAACGTGGGAAGTTCATATTACCTGTCATAGTCCATTGATTCGTCAAGGGATCAAACAATTCAGTAAATTCTCGCCCGCCGTCGTGTCCACCAGTTACCAACATTCTTCCATCTTGGAGCACAGTTGCTGTATGATGAGTGCGGTCAATGTTCGTGTCATTTGTTCTTATCCACGCATCTGCTATCGGATCGCACAACTCGCTCGTCTTTGGGGACATACCTATGGAGCAAAGCGTCGATCCACCAGTGATTAGAACTTTTCCATTTGTTAACAGAGATGCTGTATGATGTGCACGACTGCAGATCATGTTTTGAGTAGCTGTCCAAACACCTGTTCGAGGATCGTATAGTTCAGCAGTATCTGGACGCCTTTCTCTTTTGTTCCAGCCACCTACAACGAGCACTTTTCCACTCTGCAGTATAGTGGCTGTGTGTCCCGATCGTTGATGGATCATGCTTAGTGCATTTGTCCATGTGTTCGCTGATGCATTGTACAGTTCAGCAGTCGAAACCACTCCGTCAGAATTTTCACCACCAGTCACTAGGATTAAACCATTAGTTAACAAAGATGCAGTATGATCTTTCCTCGTGACAGACATGTTTGCAGCGAGTTTCCATAGATCTCTTGATGGATCATATAGTTCACATTCACGAAGAACTCCTTTGCGACTGTGTCCACCGGTGATCAATACCTTTCCATTTTGCAGTACAGTTGCGGTATAATAATAACGGAAGATGCATGTTTCGCCTTCCAGTATCCATTCTAAATACATTTCATATAGACAAATGATACTCGCATAACAATTTGTTCTTCTTAACTACCCAAGTGTAAACACTTTCAGTTCAGTTCAGTTCGAACGAAAGATACTTCCTTTCTTTTCTCATCAAATTATGGCAATGCAACATGTATACGCAGAACAGACAGATATTCAGACCTCTCATTGTACTAGTTGTGCTGGTCGTCACAGCTGCTGTGGCCGTAGTAGTTGACTTTGTCATTGTTGTCTTTTTCACTATTGTGACAGTGATCAGTGTGATTGAATTTTTCTTTGCCATAATTATTACTACGATAACGCCTATGGTCATCATTAGTGCTGTTATTAGGCTCGTCAAAAGAATCTTCTTCCATTTTCGTCGACAGTATTCACAACTAAATACAAGAATAAAAGAAGGACATTGGTCTCGTTTCGGAACTCATCTGATAATTTACCGTGTTTTTGATTGAATATCAGTTGTTTGTGATGGATGGGGTTGATCAGATTGTGACTGAAAGAGCAGAAAATACAATGGAAGATAGGTTGAAGTATGTTGAACGGTAAATTACATGAGAGATGGCAAGAATTTGATTAGAAAACATGTTGTATGTTGGTTGTGAGCTGAGTGAGGAGAGAAAGATTAGAACAAAAGTAAATGCATGAGCAGATGTCCAGCATGTTCTGCTACAAACAAGGAATGCGCTGACGCTTTTAGTTTGTATGTTGTTAATATCAATGAAATCATGAGACAAACGAATCCGTAGATAGATCCATGTGACGAATGTAGATTAAAGTAACGACTGTCGATCATAGGCTACCCTTTCGTCATTGGAGATCGTGCTGTGTGTGAACACTCTCCTATGTCTATCTGTTTGTTTTCTCCACACATGTGTATGTTGAGAATAAATGAAAGTGAATGCTTGAAACACATATTTCCTTTGCATCGTACCTTCCGCCGAAACGACAAGTTGTGGATTTATTTTGATTCTCTGGGAATTGCGCAGAGCATGAGTGAAAACATGTCGAAGGTAGATTCGCATCTCATTGACCTAATGATGAACAGTGAACAGAATGTATTGCCTAAACTTGACTACGTTCGACGATCAAGAGGAGTAAATAGCAATCCCGAGGATTCGATATCTGAAATGTCGTCGTACTGGCGGAAAAGGACTGATGACAATATATGAACACCAGATATTTGTGAAAATTGCAGACTCATGTGTTCGACAACAAAGATGGCGATATTTGAGAAAATTTGAGGATTATTGGTAATTGGTGAACGATGGTATCAATCTGCCGCGTTTCAACATGAAGTCTGTTTCGAAAAAACGAAATGGGCGATTTAACCGTAGATATTTGATGCAAACAAAGTACAGAGTTTCGTGATCAACAAATACATAAGAAATACTATCGAATGAAGATTACAAGAATTGACTTTTAGTAAGGGCAAGTTAACTAGATAACTAGTAAGATGTTGAGATCATTGCATGATGATCGATGTCATACAGATCATCTATTGATACAATATCGAAAACAGACAGCATTTCCAGATCGATGTACAATTCAAATGTGCAATATGATGGATGATTTCAGCATCTTGAATGCTTGTGTTGCTGATGATTCCGATCAACAACTATCTGTTAGCAACAGTATGCGACAAGATTTTATCATTTGTAGAAAGTCTTGTGTTGGGTAAAAGAAGAATGTATCGGTTCCGATGAACAGTTATGTAGGACGAGAGAGACGGAAATGATCAACCCTCTAGAAGTTGAGTTCCACTTTTTTGGGGGCGAATGCATACAGTGTTGTTTCGGGAGATCTTCGCCAAGAGTCGCTCACGAATATACGCGCCAAAGACCGAACGATAGAATTCCAGAACAGTATCATATGGTCGTGCGAAGTGAACAGGCTCCGAAAACAATTAGTTGACGAACCAATGAGCATAGCGACGTTAAAGCGATCGCATCCAAAAAGTGATAACTATGGAAGAATGACTTCAGCTGGACATTCGAATGAGCTCATTGTTATAGTGACAAAAATATTTCTGTGTGCGCTTTCGTGAATACAATCTCAGCGAGTTTTGTCGACGAAATTGAGAAGATTTATGCAGTACAGGATCCAGATATTTGCTCCAAATGCTCATTGCTGTAAAAAAAGTTGCATGCGAAATGAAAGAGTGACTATCGCAATGAGGAGTTTCTGGAAAGGATGATTAGTAATGCGATAAACTCAGATGATTCTGACTCGCATGGAATGCTTTGGCACAAGTTTATCTGCGGACATCTGCGATTTCTTCGACAAAGTTGATCTTCTCATTGATTCTGTGTTTTGGAACAACTAGACGTGCTTATTTGTACTTCATTTGTCACATTATCGGACAAACAGAAGTCATTATTCGAGGTCTATGTTTACAGTATAAAGTAAGAGTATGAATGAAAACACAAGTGAAGGAGATTGAAACTTGTGAACTCTAAGTTTCTGATTGAATAATTGCATTTTTCTATGATTATCTAAACAATGAACCACTTTCATCATATTTTTCTAGTTTTTATTTAGAAATAAAACTTCTAATTTCTTTTACATGCATTATTCACCAGAACACTTCTTCTCGTTTGATCGCACTAGTATATTTCTGTGATTCCATCACTAGAACTGATAGATCCGCCAACAACCAAGACTTCTCCACTAGTCAGTAAAGACGCTGTATGATAAGAGCGATGATATTTCATGTTACCAGTAGCTGTCCAAGCGCCGGTAAATGGATCGTATAGTTCAGCACTGTCTAAAGAGTATTCGGGCTGTCCGCCAACGACTAAGACTTTTCCACTTGGTAACAAAGTTGCTGAATGACCACAGCGTGGAGTGTTCATACTACGTATTGTGGTCCATTGATTCGTCAATGGGTTGAACAATTCAGCAGAGTTCCGCGTCTCTCCGACTACACCACGTCCACCAGTTACCAGCACTTTTCCATCGTGCAACACAATTGCTGTAGGATCAATGCGATCAAAGTTCATGTCATTTGTTCTGATCCACCCATCTACTATCGGATCATACAGCTCACTCGTCTTTTCGGACGTACCTCTGGAGCAGAAACCGAGTCCACCAGTGATTAGTACTGTTCCATTTGTTAACAACGTTGCTTGATGATATGCATGACTGCAGTTCATGTTTTGAGTAGCTGTCCAAACACCTGTCTCAGGATCGTATAGTTCAGCAATATCCAGAAACCCTCTTTTTTTTCCCAGCCACCTACAACGAGCACTTTTCCACTCTGCAGTACAGTGGCTCTGTGTTCACGCGGTCGATGAGTCATGCTTTGTGTGGTTGTCCACGTATTACCTGATGCATTGTACAGTTCAGCAGTCGAGAGAAATCCATCAGAATTTTTACCACCAGTCACTAGGACTAAGCCATTAGCCAATAAAGATGCGGTGTGATATTCCCTTGCGACAGACATGTTTGCAACGAGTGTCCATTGATTTCTTGATGGATCATATAGTTCACATTCACGAAGAATTCTTTTCTCACTGTATCCACCAGTGACCAATACCTTTCCATTTTGCAATACAGTTGCAGTGTGCCAATTCCGATTGATGTTTAGCTCTGCTGCCGTTGTCCATCCTAAACACATTTTACACCGTCAAAAGATGCTCATTCAAAGAATTTTTCTTCTGAACCGAACTCTACGGAGAGAAATCTGATCCTTTGTCGTACCAGGGTGTAACTATACAATACGTGTGCAAAGAATGAACGGATGTTTAGACCTTTAGTGAACATGGTTGTAGTGGTTGTCGTCGTAGCAGTTGTTGTTGTTGTCGTCGTAGCAGTTGTTGCCGTAACGCTTGTTGTTGTTGTCGTCGTAGCAGTTGTTGTCGTAACGCTTGTTGTTGTTGTCGTCGTAGCAGTTGTTGTCGTAACACTTGTTGTTGTTGTCCGTCTTGCTACAGTAACCAATAGATCTGAATGTTTCTTTGCCATAATTATTGGAACGATAACGCCTATGGTCATCATTAATACTGTTGTTAGGCTCGTCAAAAGAATCTTCTTCCATTTTCGTCGACAGTATTCACAGCTAAATACAAGAATAAAAAAAGGACATTGGTCTCGTTTCGGAACTCATCTGATAATTTACCGTGTTTCTGATTGGCTATTAGTTGTTTGTGGTGGATTAGGCTGATCGGATTGTGACTGAAAGAGTAGAAAATACAATGGTAGATAGGTTGAAGCATGTTGAGCAATAAATTACATGAGAGATCGCAGAAACTTGATTAGAAAACATGTTGTATGTTGGTTGTGAGTTGAGTGAGAAGAGAAAGAAACTAGTTTTGTCGGAGAGAAAGATTAGAACAAAAGTAAATGCATGAGCAGATGTCTCAAAGATTTATCAGTTTGATACATTTTTGCACAATCCTTTAGCTGGGAGTGTAGTCCAAGTTTTCTCATAGTTTTATGTCTGCCATACTATTTCGGGAACCCTACTAAGACTCACCCTGGTTTAATATGTAGGTTCAATAATCCCTAAGCTCTATGTGTTATTTCTCTGAAGTAGCTGAGATGTTTGTGGCGTACTACTGATTAGCAAAAACCTGCTTAAATTACTAAGATAAGAAGTATGCAAGACAGATTTTCGACACAAAAGAATATACTGATTAAAAATAAATCTTCTACTCATTAATAAATCAAACTGATTACTTTTATACGACCCATCGAAACCGCAATAGAGTTCGAGACAGGGCGATTGTATACGCTGCGGGCTTTGCATAAAGAACTGTCGCGAAGTGTCTAGAGATTATCACATGAGAGTAACAAATCAGGTTTTAAATCCTTGTTGACACTACACGCTTCAATGCAAAATAAAAATTCCATCCATATCTGCATGTGCGGAGGAAAAGCGTAGCGAAGTATTCTTTCGTCGGGAGAGTATTTCTACAGAAACAAAGAGCCAGATAGAATAAAACGTGTTTGAATTCTATCACGGCAGGTAAACCGAGTCGTGGGCGATCGTATTGACGTCAAGAAATGATTGAGTTCCACGGTTAGAGCTAATAAATAGTATTATAATACTATTAACTACTTATTCGTTTCGATTTAGCTCGAAGTTGAAACCTATGCGTTGAGCAACCTTGTCTGAGTTTTCAAAGCTAACGACAACTATTATGGAGAGAAGAAAAGGAAAAGAATGATTTATTCTCACGCTCACAACTACATCATACGACATCATAAACATATGTACACAGAGTTTCGTTTAGTGTTTGTGATGGTGATGATGGTGACCGTGTTTATGATGATGTTCAGATTGATCATCTCTATTCCATTGCTGACCATAGTCTCCTCGATCATTATAAGTAAACTGATCACTTCCATTCCATTGTTGATTATATCTTTCACCATCATTGTAATTAGAACGATCGTCTTCGCTCCACTGCTGATTGTTTTCTCCGCCGTCGCCGTACTAAAAAGGGTCATCTCTACTCTGCGAATCGCCATCAAAACCACATGCGGCGTTATCGAAAAAGTTTATTCGAAAATCATCTTCATCGAACTGTTCAATTGTACGGTTATCTGTATTGCTATTGTCATTGTAATCCCAATGCGATTGACCGGAATCGTCGTTGGGAACTTTGCGAATTGTCCACGCATCAAAACAAAGGTCTGCATCTGTCATATAATCGTACGGTATATAACAGTATCCACGATCGCCCTGTGGAATATTAAACGAAAAGTTCTATTTAATTTGTTTATCTACAACTTTTCCTTACCCAGTCTGTCCCCCAAGAATTTCGAACAATGAACGACAGCGACTGATCGCTATAACCGATGGCAACTAACGCATAACTAACGGAAAATAAGAAAAAAAAATTCAATCAGAGTTTCTAGTAAAGAAATTGATCTACCTGCCATCAGATTGACGACTACGATCGCTTGCACTCGGCATCGGTACCGCACCTGTCTTAGCTGCTTTATCAAATGACGTGAACAAACGGAGACCGAATACAAACGGAAAACCTTGTGCAAGACACGATTTCATTTCATGTAAGTCAATGCTGACTTGGAGTGCCTCAGAAATCGTGTGTGGTTTAGCTGCTTGATATGCTTCGTTATTCGGTCGTGTGTTTACTCTGGAAACGTCGTATGGCCATATCGATTCGAGACAAGTTCCGAATTGCTCCAGTGCTTCGATAGCGCTTGTCATAGAACAACCTGAATCTGTAACTGCTTCCGATGGCTGCTCTTTTTCTCGACCATTGTAGTAGATAAATAGTCTACTTACATCGATGCTTTCACCATGATGTTTTTTTGCTAAATACTCATATGCTCCTAAGAATAAAGTATACATTGAAGCGATATACTAAGTTTTGTATGATGGTTACCGGCGAGAGCATTAGCCGAACTAAAGTGAGAGGGAAAAAGAATTGTCAGTCAAGATATTTCAAGTATGATTACCAACTGCCGATACTTGATTGATTTTCGACAGTTGTCATATCATTCCGTAGGTCAACTTTCGGTGGAAGATCTTCGGGACTATAGATTAAACGATCATTAAAGGCTTGACGTAGATTGTGCTTATGTGGCAAACGAGCAGATGGCCAAATACCATTGAGACGACATTTTCGATTGAAAAGTTTATTTAATAAGTATGTTTTCAACGGCATCGATTGAAGCTCGATTGATTGTATGACAAAAGGAAAATGAATAGACTTATATATGTGTGTTTTTTTTCTTCCATCATTCAAGCACCTAGAAACAACGTGTACTCAAAATGTTATTGCCGGCACTGTTTTTTCTTCGTTCCTTTTAAACAATTAGTAAACGAGGAAAGATACGCTCGTCGCACTTTTTCTTTGATTCAGACGGCTCGTGCACGCCCTGGCTTGCGTTCTGTCGGAGAATGTACTTTTTTGTGAACTGAAGCCCTATAAACGACGTCATTCGTACTATATGAATAATCGTTGCAAAACACATTCTATAGTTGTTAATAAGTAGTTAATAGTTTCAGTCAGCTAACATGAATAATGAATATTCACTAAGATGACTGAAATAGTCATCTGTATGACGCGAAGATCGACAGCAAAAACACCTTTATTTTCTTCTCTGATATTCAGATCCTCAGGTATAATGGAGATTGTTGGTGGAAACACTTCTTGCACAAGTATTTTCCAATATTCTATAAGCACATGGCGATGTTCTAGACGAGATAACGCGATAAATAAAAATAAGAATAGAAATTTATTCATTCAGGCGATCAAATTAATGCCTACGATCTCTTTTGAGACGATATCTGTAAATGGTTCTTGGTCGAAATATTTCTATGAATAGCACGAATTTGATCAATGATTGTTCAGAATAACTAGTGAAACAGAGCCGTCTATATCCAGAAGTTCAACCTGCAGATTAGAAGTTTTACTGTATGACTATCTATTTGCTTTTTAAGTTCAACAAAAAATTAATTTCTCATTTATTTATTTCACTGATTTGAGAGATGTTTTGCAATAACGAGATTGATTTGGTAGAGAATACGTAATGAGACAAGTTAAGATGGTTGAGGAAACGAATGCTTCATTTTCAGCTTCACGCACGATATTTTATTTGCATACCTACTAAAGCCAGCGCATCGATCAATCAACTGCTGTCGGATAGTCATTGTAGATCAAAGTTCAGTATGAAATTATCAAGAAATCTAGCAAAATAGTCTGGTCTATTACAAGAAAGATATTGTTTTACAGAAGAATATGTGAAGCATGGACGTTCATCTGTCCATATATTGCAATGAAAATAGAAAGTCTTCATATGAATGAGTAAAATATCTTTCTGACTCGAAAGTATCTGTTTTCATGTGCGAGCTCGCATATAGTTTCTACGAAAAAAAAGTTACTATCAACAACCTATGTTGCGATAAAAGATAAGAGATATACTTGGTAACTTGGTTTTCTTCCTATAGCTGTTTATATACCACGGTCGTGGAGAAACTCGGACCATTTCAAAAAAAAAATTCATCGACAGTCAGAGTGAAAAGTGATGGCTTCTTACGAAATGTAAGTATTATTTTCGTATCACCGACTGAATTATTCACTTTGTTTTGTTTCTCATATTATAGGTCGCATGTACAACGTAAATATGTAGTCGTGGAACAACCGCCAAGCATCAACAATGTGTTTACTCTTGCATCTGGAGAAAGAATCGCGCAAACATATGATTGTGATGATAGTTGCTGTGGTTTCGGTTCGAAATACTCCGTTATATTAACCGATGGAAGGATTATTCAACGACAAGAGCAACAACGATGCGGTTGTACATGTGGACGCGTTGATTCAATGTTCTTTTTATCGGATATCAGTGGCATCACAGACAAAGTAGAATGTCGATGTCACGTAGGATATCTTTCCGCCCGATTCGAGTTTTTCCAGGACTTATTCGTCCTCGTATGCATTCCAACCATTCCAACAATGATTCCAGATAGAACTCGACGAGCTCTATCGATTGGTAAAAAGATTTTCCCAAAAAGTCACTTCCGTACCCCCAAAAATCCCAAAAAACTGCAAAAAAACACCCCAAAATTGCATAATTTCCAGAAATACCCGGGCCGATTCGCCTGAGTGATATCTGATACCATTCCAAGCATGATTCCAGATCAAACTCGATGAGCTCTATCGATTCCAATCATGAGATTTCCCATAACTCACTTTCTTTGTCCCGAAAACCCCCAAAAAACACCCGAAATCATGAAAAACTATCGAAAAACCGTGGCCGATTCGCTCCATGACGCATTCCAACTGTAACAATAATGATTCCAGATAGAACTCGCTGAGTTCTGTCGATTCCACACCTTCGTTTTCCACTTTGACCAACTTATCTCGGAGAAAAACACTAATTATTAAGAAATCTGTCAAATATGCATTGACAAAAAAATTTCATTCGCTGATCGGTTTCAACCAATGGGATATTTTCATCAGTAAACTGTCGTCATTTGAAGTGAAATTCTTGATAACACTATTTAGGTTAAAAAAATTCGAATTCTATGGAAAATTGAAAAACCATTCAATCACCTATAATATTTTCACTAATACGAAAGAATCCAATCAATTTTGCTTTATAGATGGCGCTGGTTGCGAACTTGATTACATTACCGTTTCTGAAATCAATGAAATATACGGATAGTCATCATGAATTGACTGCTGACGGGGTAATCAAGGTTGAAGAACTCGAATCTGAGGTTGATTTTAATTAATTAATAATTAATTATTAACTCGGCATAGATTANGATTCAGACTAAATGATTCTACATAAGCTTAGACCGACATCTGCGATTTCTTCGACAAAGTTGATCTTCTCATTGATTTTGTGTTTCGGAACCTCTAGACATGTTTATTTGTACTTCGCATTACTCACATTATGAACCAATCAGAAGTCATTATCCGAGGTCAACGTTTACAGTATAAAGTAAGAGTACGAATGAAAGCAGAAGTGAACGAGATGGATACCTGTAAATTCCAAGTTTCTGGTTGAAGAATTGCATTTTTCTAACATTAACTAAAAAACGAACGACTTTCATCATATTTCTCGAATTTTTATTTAGGAATAGAACTTCTCATTTCGTTCATATGAATAATCCAAGAGAAAATTTCGTCTAGTTACATCTCACTATAGTATATTTCTGTAGTTCCACCACGAGAACTGAAAGTTCCGCCAACAACCAAGACTTTTCCACTGGTTAGTAAAGATGCTGTATGATAATAGCGACCATTTTTCGTGTTACCAGTGACTGTCCAAACGCCGGTAGATGGATTGTACAGTTCAGAACTGTTTAAAGAGGCACTGGAGAATCCGCCAACGACTAAGACTTTTCCATTTGGCAGCAAAGTCGCTGAATGAGCATAGCGTGGGGTGTTCATACTATGTATTGTGGTCCATTGATTCGTCAATGGGTTGAACAATTCAGTAGAGTTCCACATCGATATGGCTAGATCACGTCCACCGGTTACCAGCACTCTTCCATTTTGGAGGACAGTTGCTGCATGATGATAGCGACCAATGTTCGTGTCATTTGTTTTGATCCATGCACCTGCTATCGGATCATACAACTCACTCGTCTGTGGGGACATACCTATAGAGCAAAAACCCGGTTCACCAGTGATTAGTACCTGTCCATTTGTCAGCAACGATGCTGTATGATATACATGACTGCAAATCATGTTTTGAGTAGCTGTCCAAACACCTGTCTGAGGATCGTATAGTTCAGCAGTATCTAGACGTCCTTCTCCTTTCTTCGAGCCACCTACAACGAGCACTTTTCCACTCTGCAGTACAATGGCTGTGTGTTTAGACCGTTGATGGATCATACTTTGTGTGTTTGTCCACGTATTCGCTGATGCATTGTACAGTTCAGCACTCGAAACCACTCCGTCAGAATTTTCACCACCAGTCACTAGCACCAAATCATTAGCTAACAAAGATGCGGTGTGATAATCCCTTGGGGCAGACATGTTTGCAACGAGTGTCCATCGATCTCTTGATGGATCATATAGTTCACACTCACGAAGAACTCCTTTGTGACTGTATCCACCGGTGATCAATACTTGTCCATTTTGCAATACAGTTGCAGTATGCCGATTCCGATTGATGTTTAGTTCTGCTGCCGTTGTCCATTCTAAATACATTTCACGCCTTCAGATGATGCTCACTGAAAGAATTATTCTTCTCACACGAACTTTATGAAGAGGGATCTGATCCTTTATCATATGAGGGTATAACTATGCAATACATGTGCATAGAATGAAAAAATGTTTAGACCTTTCATGAAAATGGTTGTAGTGGTTGTCGTCATAATAATTGTTGTTGTTGTCGTAACAATTGTTGTTGTCGTTGTCGGTCTTGCAGTAGCAGCCAGTCGAACTGAATTTTCCTTTGCCATAAATATTACGACGATAACACCTATGGTCATCATTAGTGTTATTGCTAGGCTCGTCAAGAGAATCTTCTTCCATTTTCTTCGACAGTAGTCACAACTAAATAGAAGAAAAAGAGAAGGACATTGCTCTCGTTTCGCAACTCATCTGATACTTTACCGTGTTTTCGATTGACCATCAGTTGTTTGTGGTGGATGGGGTTGATCGGATTGTGACTGAAAGAGCAGAAAATACAATGGAAGATAGGTTATAATATGTGGAGCGATGAATTACATGAGAGATCGCAAGAACTTGATTAGAAAACATGTTGTATGGTGGTTGTGAGCTGAGTGAGAGGAGAAAGAAGCTAGTTTTGTCGGAGAAAAAAATTAGAACAAAAGTAAATGCATGAGCAGATGTCTAGAATATTTCAATCTGGTACAAACGAAGAATGTGCTGACGCTTTTAGTTTCTATGTTGTTAATATCAATGAATTCATGAAACAAATGAACCCACAGATGAACCCATGTGAAGAATGTAGATTAAAGTACTGCTTGTTGATCATAAGTTACCTTTTCGTTACTGGAAATCGTACTGTACGTAAGTACTCTGCTATCTCGATCTGTTTATTTTCTCTACGCATGTGTATATTGAGAATAAATAAAAGTAAATGCTTGAAACACATGTTTTCTTTGCATCGTGCCTTCTGCTGAAAACGCAACAAGTTAAGGATTTATTCTGATTCCTTGGGAATTGCCCAGAGCGTAAGTGGAAACATGTCGAACGTGGATTTGTATCTCATTGACCTACTGCGATGAACAGTGAACAGAAGAATCTAGGCATGGACTCGATCGTCAGTAAATATGTGAGAGAAAATGGAGTTCAGGAGTGCGAGCGCGATTTTGTCAAAAGATGTGAGATTGGGTTAGAATCGATTTTCGAGACACACGAGAACGTAGTTCGATAAAAAGGCGAAGTCGCTCTGTGCATTGGAACGGATGTCGCCATGTGCACAACTACAGGGAATAGAATGTGTTGTCTAAACTTGACGACGTTTGACGATCAAGAGGAGTAAATAGGAATCCCGATGATTCGATATCTGAAATGCCGTTACAGTTGGGGAAGGGAATTGATGATAATATATGCACACGAGATATTTATGAAAATTGTAGACATATGTGCTCAATGACAAAGATGGAATTCTTTGGGAAAATTAGAGGATTATTGGTAATTGATGAACGATGGTATCAATCTGCCGCGTACCAACATGAGGTCTGTTTCGAAAAAATGAAATGGGCGATTTAACTGTAGATGTTCGATGCAAACATAGTAAATTGTTTCGTGTTCAACGAATGGAGAGGAAATACTATCGAATGAAGGTCACAAGAATTGACTTTTAGTAAGGGAAAGTTATCTTAGACATAACTAGTAAGATTTCGAGATCACTACATGATGATCGGCACCATACAGATAATCAACTAATAAAACAATGCAGATAGGCGGCATTAGATGCACGATTAAAATATGCAATATGATACATGATTTGAGCATCTTGAATGATTATATTGATGATGAATCCGATCAACAACTGATAAATGAATGTGCAATGGTTGAACATTCTTTTCTTGAATTCATCTTAGCCTTCTCAATGTTGCACATACATGAAATGCAAGATGTTTTTCTATTATTATCTGATATTCCAGTTGAATGTGTGCGGAATCGAGGAGATCATGTTCGTCTGCTAGCAACAATATGCGACGAGATTTCATCATTAGTAGAAAGCCTTCTATTGGCTAAAACAAGAATGGACATGTTCCGATGAACACTTACGTAAGACGAGACGGAAGTTTTTAACCATCTAGAAGTTGAGTTCGACTTTTTGGGGACGAATGCATACAGTGTTGTTTCGGGAGATCCTCGTCGAGAGTCGATCACGAATATATGTACCAAAGACCGAATGATGGATTTCAGGAACAGTATTGTATGGTCGTGCGAAGTGAACAGGCTCTGAAAACAATTAGTTGACGAACCAATTAGCATAAGCGACGTTGAAGCGATCGCATCCAAAAAGTGATAACTATGGAAGAATGCCTTCAGCTGGACATTTAAATGAGCTCATTCTTATGGTGACAAAGATATTTCCATGTGTGTTTTCGTGAGTACAATCTCAGCGAGTTTTGTCGACGAGATTGAGAAGATTTATGCAGTATAAGATCAAGACGTTTGCCCCGAATACTCATTGCTGTGAAGAAGTTGTATGCGAAATGAAAGAGTGACTATCGCAATGAAGAGTTTCTGGAAAGAACTATTATTAATGTGATAAACTCAGATAATTCTGATCCGGATGACATGCTTTGGCATAGGTTTATGCACACGTCTGTGATTTCTTCGACAATGTTGATCTTCTCATTGATTTTGCGTTTCGGAATCTGTAGACATGCTTATTTGTACTTCATTTGTTACATTATCGACCAAACAGAAGTCATTATCCGAGGTCTATATTTACAGTACAAAGTAGGAGTACGAATGAAAGCAGAAGTGAACGAGATGGATACCTGTAAATTCCAAGTTTCTGATTGAAGAATCGCATTTTTCTATGATTAACTAAAAAATCAATCCCTTTCATCATATTTTGCAAGTTTTTATTTAGAAATAGAACTTCTCATTTCCTTCACATGCATTATTTACGAGAGCGCTTCGTCTAGTGTCATCGCACTGGTATACTTCTGTGATGTCAGCATGAGGGCCGAAAGATCCGCCAACAACCAAGACTTTTCCACTAGTTAGTAAAGATGTTGTATGATAAGAGCGTTGATTTTTCATATTACCAGTGACCGCCCAAGTGTCGGTTGATGGATTGTACAGTTCAGCAGTGTTTAAAGAGTAATCGGAGTATCCGCCAACGACTAAGACTCTTCCATTTGGTAATAAAGTCGCTGAATGAGCATAGCGTGGGGTGCTCATACTATGTATTGTGGTCCATTGATTCGTCAATGGGTTGAACAATTCAGTAGAGTTCCAGATTGATACGCCTAGATCACGTCCACCAGTTACCAGCACTTTTCCATCGTGCAGCACAGTTGCTGTATGATCATAGCGATCAATATTCATGTTATTTGTTTTTATCCACGCATCTGCTATCGGATCATACAGCTCACTCGTCTTTGCGGATATACCTGAGGAGCAAAAACCGAATCCACCAGTGATTAGGACTGTTCCATTTGTCAGCAATGATGCTTGATGATTGAAACGACTACAGGCCATGTTTTCAGTAACTGTCCAAATACCAATATCTGGATCGTATAGTTCAGCAGTATCCAGATACCCTTCTCTTTTGTTTCAGCCACCTGCAACGAGCACCTTTCCATCCTGGAGTACAGTGGCTGTGTGTTTGGACCGTTGATGAGTCATGCTTTGTGTGTTTGTCCATGTATTCGTTGACGCATCATACAGTTCAGCAGTCGAAAGAACTCCGTCAGAATTTTCGCGACCAGTCACTAGGACTAAACCATTAGTTAACAAAGATGCAGTGTGATAATCCCTTGGGGCAGACATGTTTGCAACGAGTGTCCATCGATTTCTTGATGGATCATATAGTTCACATTCATGAAGAACTCCTTTGTGACTGTGCCCACCGGTGATCAATAGTTGTTCATTTTGCAATACAGTTGCAGTATGCCGATTCCGATTAATGTTTAGTTTTGCTGCTGCTGTCCATTCTAAACACATCTCATATACACAAACCACATTCCTCGACAAAAAACTCATTCTCGAGCTCGCATCAAACTATTCCTTAGTCGATGAAAGGAGAAACATGAAATACAGATCGACATTGATTAGTTTCAGTGAATTCGATTATTCACTTAGTATATCGGAAAAAAATTTCGGTAATACGTACCTTTGATTGAAGTTGTCGGTTGGATCCGGTCGTTTAACCTTGTCGTGGTCGTTTTAGTCTGAGATATTGATTTAAGTGAGTTCTTATTTGCGATAATCGGTACTACTACAATGAGACTTATGGTAATGAGCATTAGTGCTGTTGCTAGACACGTTGCTAGAATCTTTTCACATTTTGTATGACGGTTATCATGACTAGAGATCAGAGAAGAACAAAACAATTACTCCCTCAATTGCAATTCATCTGATAATTTACCGTATTCTCGATTGAATGTGAGCTGTTTGTGATGAATTGGCTTGATCAGGTTCAGACTGAAATCATAGAAAAAGTGGTATGAGATGATTTGTTATATATTTAGTGATAGATTACATGAGAAATCGCAACTTGATTAGAAAACATGTTGTATTTTGGTTGTGAAAGAAATGAATAGAATGGAAAACTAGTATTTTTGAAGAAAAAGCAAATGCATGAACATATGTCTAATCTCTCTCGACGAGAGAAAATGCTTTTAACTTTTTTACAGCACGGTCTGTTATCATTAAGTTTGATAATTAGTGTGTGTTTGAAAGAAATCGATTGTCAGTGAGCCATTTGAGTACGATAGCAAAATAGTGTTGATCTGTGCCAGAGAAGTGTTCTTTTGTAATCTTGCCTCGAATAACACTTACAGTACGAAATACAAATGCACCGCAGTTTTTATCGGTAAAAGTATCAGTGTTATAAATTCGCATGTAACATCGGTGTGAAGCTAGGACGAAGGAGCTAGCACGAACAAACGATATGTTAGCTAAAAACGTTTTTTACTAAATATGTCTCGTCCATGAAAACTACACCATTCGACTTAGAATTTAATTCTGCACCGAATAGTGATACTTTTATTCACGGGACAAACTTTGGAAAAATTCTATCTGGATTATCAATAGACCGAAAGGAAACGAACAAAGATATAGATAAAAATTTTTCCAAAGCTTGTCCCGTGAATAAAAGTATCACTATTCGATGCAGAATTAAATTCTAAGTCGAATGGTGTAGTTTTCATGGACGAGACATATTTAGTAAAAAACGTTTTTAGCTAACATATCGTTTGTTCGTGCTAGTTTCACATCGATGCGTGGGTAACAATGAAGTTTAACTTTCTGATTGTATGATCAACAGTATTTTCCTTGTTCACTGGAAAAACATTGTATAAAAATAAGAGAATCGATGTGTTCGATATCTTTTCAACAAAGTCAAATTTTGTTCTTCTTGGTGCTATATCAATTCGTCGCCACTCATTTCGTCGCGCTCATTTCGTCGCCTATTCATTTCGTCGCGCTCATTTCGTCGCCTATTCATTTCGTCGCGCTCATTTCGTCGCCTATTCATTTCGTCGCGCTCATTTCGTCGCCTATTCATTTCGTCGCGCTCATTTCGTCGCCTATTCATTTCGTCGCGCTCATTTCGTCGCCTATTCATTTCGTCGCGCTCATTTCGTCGCCTATTCATTTCGTCGCGCTCATTTCGTCGCCTATTCATTTCGTCGNTGATCAAGACTTGTCCATTTTGCAATACAGTTGCAGTATGCCGATTCCGATTGATGTTTAGTTCTGCTGCCGTTGTCCATTCTAAATACATTTCACGCCTTCAGATGATGCTCATTGAAACAATTATTCTTCTCACGCGAACTTTATGAAGAGGGATCTGATCCTTTATCGTATGAGGGTATAACTATGCAATACGTGTGCATAGAATGAAAAAATGTTCAGACCTTTCATGAAAATGGTTCTAGTGGTTGTCGTCATAACAAGTGCTGTTGTCGTCGTAACAATTGTTGTTGTCGTTGTCGGTCTTGCGGTAGCAGCCAGTCGAACTGAATTTTCCTTTGCCATAAATATTACGACGATAACACCTATGGTCATCATTAGTGTTATTGCTAGACTTGTCAAAAGAATCTTCTTCCATTTCCTTCGACAGGACTCACAACTAAATACAAGAATAAAAGAAGGACATTGCTCTCGTTTCGCAAATCATCTGATAATTTACCCTGCTTTTGATTGAATATCAGTTGTCTGTGGTGGATGGGGTAGATCGGATTGTGACTGAAAGAGTAGAAAATACAATGGAAGATAGGTTGAAGTATGTTGAACGATAAATTACATGAGAGATCGCAAGAACTTGATTAGAAAACATGTTGTACGGTGGTTGTGAGCTGAGCTGAGTGAGAAGAGAAAGAAACTAGTTTTGTCGGAGAAAAAAATTAGAACAAAAGTAAATGCATGAGCAGATGTCTAAAATGTTTCAATCTGGTACGAACAAAGAATATGCTGACGCTTTTAGTTTCTATGTTATTAATATTAATCAATTCATGAAACAAATGAACCCACAGATGGACCCATGTGAAGAATGTAGATTAAAGTACTGCATGTTGATCATAAGTTACCTTTTCGTTATTGGAAATCGTACTGTACGTAAGTACTCTGCTATGTCTATCTGTTTATTTTCTCTACACATGTGTATATTGAGAATAAATAAAAGTAAATGCTTGAAACAGATGTTTTCTTTGCATCGTACCTTCTGCTGAAAACGCAACAAGTTAAGGATTTATTCTGATTCCTTGGGAATTGCCCAGAGCATGAGTGGAAACATGTCGAACGTGGATTTGTATCTCATTGACCTACTGCGATGAACAGTGAACAGAAGAATCTAGGCATGGACTCGATCGTCAGGAAATATGTGAGAGAAAATGGAGTTCAGGAGTGCGAGCGCGATTTTGTCAAAAGATGTGAGATTGGGTTGGAATCGATTTTCGAGACACACGAGAGCGTAGTTCGATAAAAAGGCGAAGTCGCTCTGTGCATTGGAACGGATGTCGCCATGTGCACAACTACAGGGAATAGAATGTGTTGTCTAAACTTGACGACGTTCGACGATCAAGAGGAGTAAATAGGAATCCCGATGATTCAATATCTGAAATGCCGTCACAGTTGGGGAAGGGAATTAATGAGAATATATGCACACGAGATATTTATGAAAATTGTAGACATATGTGCTCAATGACAAAGATGGAATTCTTTGGGAAAATTAGAGGATTATTGGTAATTGATGAACGATGGTATCAATCTGCCGCGTACCAACATGAGGTCTATTTCGAAAGAATGAAATGGGCGATATAATTGTAGATGTTCGATGCAAATATAGTAAATAGTTTCGTGCTCAACGAATGGAGAGGAAATACTATCGAATGAAGGCCACAAGAATTGACTTTTAGTACGGGAAAGTTATCTTAGAGATAACTAGTAAGATTTCGAGATCACTACATGGTGATCGACGTCATACAGATAATCAACTAATAAAACAATGCACATAGGCGGCATTAGATGCACGATTAAAATATGCAATATGATACATGATTTGAGCATCTTGAATGATTATATTGATGATGAATCCGATCAGCAACTGATAAATGAATGTGCAATGGTTGAACATTCTTTTCTTGAATTCATCTTAGCCTTCTCAATGTTGCACATACATGAAATGCAAGATGTTTTTCTATTATTATCTGATATTCCAGTTGAATGTGTGCGGAATCGCGGAGATCATGTTCGTCTGCTAGCAACAATATGCGACGAGATTTCATCATTAGTAGAAAGCCTTCTATTGGCTAAAACAAGAATGGACAGGTTCCACTGAACACTTACATAGGACGAGACGGAAGTTTTTAACCCTCTAGAAGTTGAGTTCGACTTTTTTGGGCGCGAATGCATACAGTGTTGTTTCGGGAGATCTTCGCCAAGAGTCGCTCACGAATATATGTGCCAAAGACCGAACGATAGAATTCCAGAACAGTATCATATGGTCGTGCGAAGTGAACAGGCTCCGAAAACAATTAGTTCGCGAATCAATTAGCATAAGCGACGTTGAAGCGATCGCATCCAAAAAGTGATAACTATTGAAGAATGCCTTCAGCTGGACATTTGAATGAGCTCATTCTTATGATGACAAAGATATTTCCATGTGTGTTTTCGTGAATACAATCTCAAGGAGTTTTGTCGACGAGATTGAGAAGATTTATGCAATATAGGATCTAGACATATGCTCCACATGCTCATTGTTGTGAAGAAGTTGTATGCGAAATGAAAAAGTGACTATCGCAATGAAGAGTTTTTGAAAACGTTCATTATAAACACGATAAGTTCAGATGGCTCTGACTCGGATGAAATGCTGTCACATAAGTTTATATACAGACATCTGTGATTTCTTTGACAATGTTGATCTTCTCATTGATTTTGTGTTTTGGAACTTCTAGACATGATTATTTGTACTTCATCTGCTACATTATCGACGAAACAGAAGTCATTATCCGAGGTCTATGTTTACAGTATAAAGTAGGAGTATGAATGAAAGCAGAAATGAACGAATTGGATGCCTGTAAATTTCAAGTTTCTGATTGAAGAAGCGCATTTTTCTATGATTAACTAAAGAATCAATCCCTTTCATCATATTTCTCAAGTTTTTATTTAGAAACACAACTTCTCATTTGCTTCACATTCATTATTTACGAGAACGCTTCGTCTAGTGTCATCGCACTAGTATACTTCTGTGATGTCAGCATGAGGACCGAAAGATCCGCCAACAACCAAGACTTTTCCACTAGTGAGCAAAGATGTTGTATGATAAGAGCGTTGATTTTTCATATTACCAGTGACCGCCCAAGAGTCGGTAGATGAATCGTACAGTTCAGCACTCTCTGAAGAGGTACTGAAGAATCCACCAACGACTAAGACTCTTCCATTTGGTAACAAAGCCACTGAATGAGTACAGCGTGGGGTGCTCATACTATGCATTGTGGTCCATTGATTCGTCAATGGGTTGAATAATTCAGTAGAGTTCCAGATCGATACGCCTAGATCACGTCCACCAGTTACCAGCACTTTTCCATCGTGCAGCACAGTTGCTGTATGATCATAGCGATCAATATTCATGTTATTTGTTTTTATCCACGCATCTGCTATCGGAT